TACCATTTGGGAGAGGAAAAACAGATTAGAAATGTCAGAATATTGCCAAAGACCAGGAACAGCAAAAGGGCCTTGGTCTTTGTCCTCTTTACACCAGAAGTAGGCATACTGTTGCTATCGCATTCAAAGCAGTGAGACTTGAGCCCAGAATTACAGCTGTAGGGTTCTCAAATGACCACATGGTGACAGCATATCACCAATCTTTTTCTCTCTCCCAAAGCCTGGCAGTTACACTGTGTTCCTTTCCAACTTATTAGGAATTCAGTTAGAAAAGTAGTAATAACTGATGAGGACAGTTTGTCCATTATTGCACATGTTCTTCTGGAACAGAAAGGAGAGACGTGGCACATTCTGGGACATAAACACTCACGTTTTTATGTTGGTGTGTTATGAATTTACTTTGTGTGTGTGTGCCGAATGTATTAATGAGTGAGAATATTCCTGGCCCTTCCTTATAATCATTCATAGTTAGAAAGGTAGGAGAAAAACTACTTTATTTTTCTACCCCACCTCCATTTCCCCAAGAGGACTCGGGGCAGCTTACATGGGGCCAAACCTAGGCAGCATACAGATTAAAAGCAAAAACAACAGCAAATTACAAATTAAAATAGCATAAACAGCATAACAGTAATAAACAGGTATCAAGCAACAGCAACCCAATTTTGGAGGGGGGAAGGAGGCCAACATATGAACTGATTAAAGGGTAAATAGTTAAATAAGGTGGATAGGAACATAAATGGCACAGGAGATATCATGGAAATAGAGCAATTAAACAGGATCAGGATCATCTCAGTTTAACTTACATATATGAATAGTGATGTAATATAGGAATTCAGGTTAAATGGTGAAAATAAATCACGGTATAATCATTTGTCATAGGGGTCGTCAGTCGAAGGCACAACGAAACATCCATGTCTTTAATTCCTTATGAAATGTGGCTAGGGAGGGTGCCTGCCTAATCTCCCTGGGGAAGGAGTTCCAGAGACAGGGGGCCACCACCGAGAATGCCCTCTCGTCCCCACTAACCGCGCCTGAGACGGGAGCAGGAGCGAGAGAAGAGCATCCCCGGACAATCTTAAGGACCATGTGGGCTCATAGGGAGGCAGTTGCGCAGATAGGTAGGTCCTGAACCATTTAGAGCTTTATAGGTGATAACCTGCACCTTGAATTGGGACTGGAAATTTATCTGTAGCCAGTGGAGCTGTTAAATACAACCTTTTGCACAATTCCATATTGGTCCAGGCCCCAGGAAATTCACAGGCTCATAGAACAGGAGGCTTAAAGGTGTCCTTCCACTGGATCTTGCAGTTTCCACCAAAATCACCAAATTCCCTCCCCTCCCATACACCAGAAAATTCTACTTTGAAGGATAGAGAACTCCTTTAGAACTGGTTTTTTGTACCATTGTGGATGCAACAGAAGAGGAATAAAGACTCAATTAAACCAGGTGCCAAAATTCAACATTGACCCCCCCCCCCCCAACAGATATGTTAGAAGTGTACATGAAGGCCGTTCTGGACCTGAACCAGTGCCTGTCATCAGTAATGGACTGGATGAGGGCCAACAAACTGAAACTAAATCCAGACAAGACAGAGGTACTCCTGTTCAGTCGTAAGGTGGATCAGGGTGTGGAATTTCAGCCTGTGTTGGATGGGGTTGCACTCCCCTTGAAGACACAGGTTTGCAGACTGGGGATAATCCTGGAATCATAGCTGACCCTGGAATCCCAGGTGTCGGCAGTTGCCAGGAGCACCTTCACACAGCTAAAACTTGTGTGCCAGCTATACCCAAACCTTGAGATACCAGACTTGGCCATGACAGTCAACACTTGAGTCACATCCTGTTTGGACTACTGCAACACTCTCTACGTGGGGCTGCCTTTGAAGATAGTTCAGAAGCTGCAATTAGTGCACAGATCGGCAGCTAGATTGCTAACTGGAGTGCCATGTCGTGAGAGGATGACTCCCATGTTGCGACAACTCCACTGGTTGCTGGTCTGCTTCCGGGCTAATACAAAGTGCTTCCATTCTTCTCTATAATGGGTTGTCATTATATGATGCTGTCCTTGTATTTCTTCAATTTTTTCTCCCTTCTCCCCTTTCCAGCAGTGTGATTCTTTTATTTCATACTCATTAATGCAAATCAATAATTTGATTTTATTTTCTTTCACCCAAAACCTCAGCGGTGTCCAGTCATAGGGCTTGTTCTCCAGACCCTTGATCGTTTTAGTTGCCCTCTTCTGGTCACATTCCAGCTTGTCAACATCTCCCTTCAGTTGTGGAGCCCAGAATTGGACACAGTATTCCAGGTGTGGGTTGACCAAGGCAGAATAGAGGGGTAGAATGACTTCTCTGGATCTAGACACTAGACTCCTCTATTTATGCAGGCCAAAATCCCAACGGCTATTTTTGCTGACGCATGACATTGTTGATTCATTTAACTTGTTGTCCACAAAGACTCCAAGATCTTTTTCACACGTACTGCTCTCGAGCCAGGCATTGTCCCCCATTCTGTATCTTTGCATTTCATTTTTTTCTGCTTAAGTGGAGTATCTTGCATTTGTCCCTGTTGAACCTCATTTTGTTAATTTGGCCCATCTCTCATATCTGTTAAGATCATTTTGAATTTGGCTCCTGTCTTCTGGAGTATTGGCTATCCTTCCCAATTTGGTGTCATCTGCAAACTTGATGATGCTTTCTAACCCTGTATCTAATTTCATCTTCCTTCCTTCCTTCCTTCCTTCCTTCCTTCCTTCCTTCCTTCCTTCCTTCCTTCCTTCCTTCCTTCCTTCCTTCCTTCCTTCCTTCCTCCCAGGAGCCCAGAACAACTGTAGCTTCATTATCTGGCTTCCCTTCCTCTTCCTTTCCCTTCCCACCAGGAAACAGCAGAACTGGCAGCCCCTTTGGGGGCTTGACATCTGCCTTGCAGGCGGAGGTTTGGGGATGGAGCACAAAAACAAAAGAATAACTGTCTGCGCCTCATTCAAAAGGAACATACATGTGCCCAAGCTCCACGTTGTTGCTGCATGCCTTGAAGTAATTTCTGACTTATCGCAACTCTATCGTGGAATTTCTGGGGTTAAACGTGTGACCCACCCAAGTTCACCCAGTGGGTTTCCGTTGCTGAGTGGATAACTAAACCATGTCACTAATAAGATATCCTTCACTATCATGGCCACCCTTCTTTAGACAATCATTTGTTAGGGTCCCTCTTAACAGGAAACACTCAGAACTGGGCCCAGGAATTCAATACGTAGGTGGGCCAAGATAAAAGGATTTAATTCCATCCAGATGTTTTTGGTCAGCTACGACTACTTGGTGTCCCCCTGAGGAAGCAGCAGGTTAAACCGTTGAGCTGCTGAACTTGCTAACCAAAAGGTCAGTGGTTCGAATCCAGGGAGTGGGGTGAGCTCCTACTGTTAGCCCCAACTTCTACCAACCTAGCAGTTGGAAAGCATGCAAATGTGAGTAGACCACATACCTTTGGTGGAAAGGTAATGATGTTCCATGCAGTCATGCTGGCCACATGACCTTGGAGGTGTCTACGGACAACGCCAGCTCTTCAGGCTTACAAATGGACATGAGCACCACCCCCAGAGCAGGACACGAATAGACTTACTATCAGTGGAAACCTTTAGCTTTACTTACAACCACTCTATTGGCTCTGTTGAGTGGGGTTGCTGGGAGCTGCGCTCAGTATTTGGGCAGCCACAGGTCTCTCCCTTCACCCTTTTGAGATGGATAGATAGAGCAGTGTTTCTCAACCTGGGGGTCGGGACCCCTGGAGGGGTCGCAAGGGGGGGGGGGTCAGAGGGGTCGCCAAGAACCATCAGAAAAAAAAAGCATTTTCTGTTGGTCATGGGGGTTGTGTGTGGCAAGTTTGGCCCAATTCTATCATTGGTGGGGTTCAGAAGGCTCTTTGATTGTAGGTGAACTATAAATCCCAGAAACTACAACTCCCAAATGTCAAGTCTATTTTCCCCAAACTCCACCAGAGTTCACATTTGGGCATATTGATTTTCATGCCAAGTTTGGTCCCGACCCATCATTCTTTTGAGTCCACAGTGCTCTTCGGATTTAGGTGAACTAGAACTCCAAAACTCAAGGTCAATGCCCACCAAACCCTCCCAATACATCCTGTTTGTCATGGGAGTTCTGTATGCCAAGTTTTGTGCAATTCCATTGTTGGTGGGGTTCAGAATGCTCTTTGAGTGTAAGTGAACTATAAATCCCAGCAACTACAACTCCCAAATGACAAGGTCTATTTCCCCCCAACCCTACCAGTATTCCAATTTGGGCATATCAGGTATTTGGTCCAGTGAATGAAAATACATCCTGTCTATCAGATATTTACATTATGCTTCATAACAGTAGCAAAATTACAGTTGTGAAGTAGCAATGAAAATAATTTTATGGTTGGGGGTCACCACAACATGAGGAACTGTATTAAAGGGGTCGTGGCATTAGGAAGGTTGAGAAACACTGAGATAGAGCATCCTTTATCTGAAATTCTGAAATCTGAAATATTTCAGATTCCAAAATAATCCACATGGATGGTTGGGATAGTTTCTGGTGGTTCCATGTACAAAGGCTTTGTTTCATGTATGACATTATTTAAAATAGTCAGACTATAAGGTGTAAACAAAAGATTACTTTTGTGTCAAACATATAGGCACTGAACATGTAATGCAGTTCAAAGCTAACTTCAAACTGCAGGAGCCAGGCAACCATGCAAAACAACACTCTAATGTGCATCAATGTTTTGTGACTCATGTAATCATCGTCCAGGCCTCAAAGTGGTTTCCCAGGTAACCATCCGCACAACAAAACCACTTTCTTCAATACCTTTTTGAAGCTGCATGAAATGGTCATGCAGGTGGGGCCATAGACTATCTTCACTGCTCCATGCCTATTTCTTCCAGCTTTTTTCACAAGTCCGTCTTCTGTGTGGAATCATTCCACTGACAACCAACACAGAAAAAATCACTCATTACAATCCGCCAGAGAAATATGATATTAGACTTTATTTAAGAGAAAGTGGGAGCCTGTAGATACAGCAATAAAATATACAAAACAAATTAAATTGTTATATTCCTAGAGAGCAGTTAGCTATACAGAAACAGGAAAATGATGTCGGAAGGAGCAAAGAGACAAACGATGCAAAATGGAATTTGGCATAAATAAGCTATTTGGTTAGAAGCAACCAGTGCAACTGTATACTAGCTAGTGACCCTATAGTAGCCTACCCACACCTGGTGCTGTCCAGGTGTGCTGCACTACAACTCCCAGAAGCCCTGAGCAACCGTGGCCCATGCCTCTAAGTAATACTGAGGAAAAACTGACTTTATCCCTCTCTTCCATGGACATACGGGATAACAATCCGAAGTCCAACAACTAAAACAAGACCACAAACAGAATCCAGATTCTCTGTTCCTAACACCAGAGTGTTAACAGGCCCCCAGGTGGCGTTAAACTGCTGAGCTGCTGAACTTGCTGACGGAAAGGTTGGCAGTTTGAATCCGGAGAGTAGGGTGAGCTCCCACTGTTAGCCCCAGCTTCTGCCAACCTAGCAGTCTGAAGCTGGGGCTAACAAATAAACTTTAGTTATTGTGCACTGTCCATCAGGCCTCCTAGGGATGCAAATGTGAGTAGATCAATAGGAACCGCTTCTGCGGGAAGGTAACAGCGCTCCATGCAGCCATGCTGGCCACATGACCTAGGAGGTGTTTATGGACAATGCTGGCTCTTCAGCTTAGAAATGGAGATGAGCACCACCCTCCAGAGTCGGACACGACTTAATGTCAGGGGAAGCCTTTACCTTTACTTTTAATACGAAAGTCCTAATATCACAGCATTGTTTACATCTAGAGTTCAACTACTAAACCACAAATAATGGAAACAGGCTAACAGAGAGCGCTGTGGATCCGAACACAAAAACTGAGCAGAGAATGTCTCCAAGTATAACTGGGGATATAAAATGAAGGAATTGGCTAACCCAAAGTTCACCAGTTTGGTATATCTAGGCATCTTGGGCTATACCTCTTCTAACCCCAGCCAGCTGTCTAGGGGATTATGGGAGTTGTAATTCAACATATTTACAGGCTGCTGGGCAAAAGGCTGGGCTAGCTCAAGCAACAAAGCATTGGAATATTGGAAGAGACACCATCTTTTCAATATGTTCTCCTTTTGCTCCTAATTTACAGCAATGATGGAGGTTCAAGTCTCCACTTGACCACAAAGCTCATGTGACAACCATGGGCCACTCACTGTTGCTGAAACTGTTTCACAAGGCTGTTGTGAGAATAAATCAGAATTCATGCCTGGATTTGGGAGGGAAGTAGGAAGGAAAAAACAGGCATGCTGTCCTACGTTTCTTGGTAGGGCAACATAAAAGTGCAAATAAATAATAACAAAAATTAATTGCCGACAACTCATCTGCCAGCCATCAAGCTCTAATATTTCATTCTTGTTGCACTATCTGGACTCAAAGCCTTAAGGGTATGAGAGCCCCCCAGATTTGAAACTTTGCATAAGAGACAAAAAGAGAAAGAGAGACAGAGGGACAACAGAGAGAAAGATTACAGGGAAATTTGGACTTTCTGCTGAATGGCTTGGACTCCAAACATAGTTCTGCCATGAATATACTTGTCAATCCTGGGGATATTACTCATTCACTTTTGTATTACATGGTTATGAACCTGAGCATCCTTCTTTTGGCCACTGGTACCCATCAATATGGCTCAAGTTGCTAAAAGGTTTGAAAAATATACACTTCCAAATACTAGTGACGCACCAGCTTCAAAGTCCAAAGTGACCAAGCCAATGTAGACTCTGGGGACTCATAGTCACCTCACTTTGTAGGGCTGTTGTCTTAGGTTTGTATTTGTTTGAGAAAAATTAAAAATCAACAATGTACGAAACAAAATTGCACTTATTTTTAAAGAAGCAATCCTATTTATTGCCCATCCCCATCCTATGCTCAGCAGAGAGCATTCTGCCTGTCTCTTTAGCACAATCTTTTGCTTGAATACTGAGAAAACATCTGTTTGTGACTATCAGCTGGAGGAATAAGCCTTTTGCAGCATGCAAGCAAACGAAGACAGGAGACCAAGAAGTACTGCCAAGGGCGTGGGTATGAAGAGGCACTTGATCTAGCAAAATAAGACACCCCGTAATCTAACTTTTATACAAAAGGAAAAATACTTTTGCGGAGAAGGGGGTAAATCCCTACTAACATTAAGTGGGAGGGCCCTTCCTCAAGCCAAGAGGCTCAGGCGACGAGCCACCAGCAAAGGAGGCACTCGAGTGGCTACAAGAGAAACCAGGATCAAGCATCTCCCACTGGAGCAGAGCCAAGGTGAGGGGGGCTCCACAATGGTGCAAGAGAAGGAGACGTTTCATGCCAGGAAGCCAGGACTGGTCAGATGCCCTGCTTGGGCCAGTCACATGGGCGAGTTGGCACACTCGGCAGCCATCTCCATGTCGAAGACTTGCAATGACTCTGCAGAAAAGGGGACAAAAAGACAAGAATATAATCTAGTTGCAGGATGGAGGTTTTCCTCTAGGCTATATGTAGCTGAACCTCTCCTGAAAGAAGTTAGATTCACAACCTGCATTGTGCACGAAACCGTGTCTTTTCCTTGAGTGAAAACCCAGGGACCATTCTCCAACATTAGTACCCAAAGGTTTACAAAGCAGTTTAGATTAGGTTTGGTTATTTGGGGTGCTGATTCAGAAAATTGCTTTGGATAGACCACATCAGCTCTAGTTTCTGATACAGAACATATGCCATCAAGTAATTGCCATGTGCTCACTCACAGAAAACCATATTTAATAAGCCTCAGCACTATAAGAGGGTTTCAATAGACCAGTCGCTCTTGTTGCAATAGTGTAGTAACAGTGAGGCTAGAAACCAAATTTTAGTTCTTGTGGACCACTGGTGGTCCACGGACCACAGGTTGGGAACCAATGCTCTAGATGTTGCTGGATTGCAACTTAGCTCCCATGGCTAAGTTGCAAGTGTAGGGTGCTGGCTAAGTGTAGGGTGCTGGGGCTTATAGTCCAATAACATTTGGAAGCTGCATGATGCCACTGCTCTTAATAACTGTTTGAGGGACTTATTTGGGTGGAACCGTCACCTCTTCATTCTCTATCTGTTGCTTATAGAAAGAGCCTTTTAATGGAGTGTGTTGTACTTCCTGATGTTCTGCATCATATTTCAGGTTAAAATTAGTTTTAAGAAGAATGGCTTATTAAGTTATCTGTACTTTGTTTTAAGCCACATTATACTCTCTCTCTCTCTCTCTCTCTCTCTCTCTCTCTCTCTCTATATATATATATATATATGGTCTACGACCAACACCAAAAATGTACATTATACATTCTAAGCCACCTTGGGTCCCATGCCAAGAAAGAGGTGGGATAAAAAGTCATAAATAACACTTTCTACTTCATTACACTAGAAAATGAACCCACTTCAAATTTGGTTTCTGCCTCCTGCAGAGTTCTGGGATTTGTAGTTTAGGGAGGAACCTTTAACAGCTTCACTAAACAACAAACCCCAGAATTCTGCAGGAGGCAGCAACTGGATTTAAAGTGGATTCATTCTCTAGTGTGATGAGGTCCTAGTAACACAATTTTTGTTCCTGAGTTATAAATGTCATTTCTTAATTGTTTATATCATACAAACATGGAAAAAGTTTATTAAACTGCAAAAACTTTGTTTTTCAGGAATATTCTGCAGCACACTTTGTTATAGTCTTTCAAAGACTATCTCATCAAACTTCAATCAATTCAACATAGTTTGTAGCAGTCACAAAAACAAAGTTTCTGGAGTATAACAACTACTTTCAAAGTAAGCACTGCACAAGTAAACAGGAAATAACACTTTCAAACCAGGAACAGAATTCTTTTCAAATTGTTACATAGTGCAATCAAACAAACATCAAATACAGATAGAGTAGGAACAGAGCTTCCCCCTGCCACCCACGCACACAAATACCCACACACAAGTGCATCAATCTGTCCCCACACTTACCAAATTGTCCACTGGCATTTCCTTCAGCTCCCTCCCCATTACTACAAAAAGGGATCAGGGATTCGAGTGTGCGGGGAGACATGGGCAGTTCAATAGTACTGCTGCAGGTTGTTCTGGAAAGACAAAATGGAGGAGGGAAAGAGAAAAAAGAGGGAACAGCAAGGATGTTCATTTTATTGATTTGAAAATAATTCAGTCCCCAGCTCCAAAACTACTAACGTTGCTCTGTGCAGTAGGACATAGCGAGAGCTCAATACACACACTTGAAATACTGTTTGGAGAAAGGAAATAAATTGAGACAATGCGAGTTCTATCTTACTATCCATTATATTGGTATTACTATGTTTATGTTATCACATAAGTAAAAAATCTTTATGCAGTTTTGTTCTTTCACTGTGCAGCAGGAGATGGAGTGGAACCGGGACAAGGTAGCCAGTTTACAACGTCCCTTTGTGCTACATTTAGTGATAGCAGCCATGAAGTTTCCGAACAGAGGCCTCCAGCTAGTGAAACTGGGTCAATAATACATTTTTATTGTCTACCTTTAAGTACTTTGGGACTTATGGAGAACCTGAAGCAAATTGTTATGGGGAATTTTTGACAAGATTTGTTCAGAGGAGGTTTGCCGTTGCCTTCCTCCAAGGCCGAGAGAGGATGCTTTGCCCAAGATCAGCCAGTGTGTTTCCTTGGCTATTTTTTTTCTCATGCCAGGAGTGACTTGAGAAACTGCAAGTCGCTTCTGATGTGAGAAAATTGATCATCTGCAAGGACGTTGCCTAGGGGACACCCGGATGCTTTACCATCCTGTGGGACGCTTCTCTCATGTCTGCACACGAGAAGCTAGAGCTGACAGATGGGAGCTCACCCCACTCCCCAGATTCAAACTGCCAATTTTTTGGTCAGCAGTCCGGCCAGAACAAGGGTTTAACCCACTGCGACACCGGGGGCTCCTGTTTCCATGGCTGAGCAAAGATTTGAACCTCTCCTTAGCTAATCATACTAAGTCTGCAAGCTCAGACAAGATCTGGTACCTTTACTGGGCCCAATTTAAATATCATTTGCACCACTAGACCACACTGGCTTCTGGTGTGAGAGAATTGGCCGTCTGCAAGGATGTTGCCCACGGGATACCTGGATGTTTCACCATCCTGCTGAAAGCTTCTATCATGTCCCAGCATGAGAAGCTGGAGCTGACAGACGGGAGCTCATTCCACTTCCTGGATTCGAATCACCGACCTTTTGGTCAGCAGTCCTGCTGGCGCAAGGGTTTAACCCATTGCACCACTGGTGGCTCCTGTTTCAATGGCTGAGCAGAGATTTGAACCTTCTCTCCTGAAGTAGGAGTCTAACATTCACATCACTAGACCACATTGGCTTTGAAACCATCCTAGGTATAAACAAATCCTATCTAATTGCAATATAGACCTCTGCCTATTTCCCATCCCCTTAAAATGAGGGAATACTCACGGGGTCACACAGATGAACTTGGTCTTGAGATATGGAGCAGTACCTGCTGGGGTGTTGGGAAAAAATATTTTGTTAGTTTGAATATGATGAAAAGCAGAAAGGGGACAGAACCAAAACACACCTCAGGACTATATTAGGGTCCAGATGGGTATTGAGATATTGCCTTGGTAAATGCTTGTAAAAATAGTCTTTTAAATCTTGTGAGAGGGGCATTTGGAAAATAACCAAATGACAATATTATTGTGAAATGGACGCTGCCAAGGGTTTCCAGGTTTCCCAGCCCTGGAAGATTGAACTGTCACTTTAAAAAAGCTAAAATATATCCTGTGTAAGGCACATGCACCACAGACAGGTGAACTCCCTTGTAAATCCCATCACCACCAAAGGACAGAGGAGAAGAGCACAGAAAGCCAACAACTACCTGGGTCGGTTGCTTCAGGGTGTTCCTGGCTCTCAGGGCGACAGTATTTTCCAAAGGCTTCCTCTTTGGGGATATCCGGGTACAAGTAAACAAGAGGGGACACGAGGATGTTGGTGGCATCCATGATCTTGTAACCCATGATAATCTCGGCAAAGGACATGCTGTTGAGCTGCTGCTTGGTGTATGGCTCCACTGATTGGATTTGGGTCTTTCCTATGTCAAAGGTTTTACATGAGGGTTAGAAAAAACTGACAGCATAAAAAGGAACATCACATACAATTTCCCCCAAGAAAAAAAAAACCAACAATGCAAAAGGTTACCAAATGCATTTTCCCAGTAATTTTTTTGTGGGACATCCATAGGGAGAACAAGGTGCTTGTTTCTTACTTCTTACTTAGGCGATCCCTCGTAGTCCAAGGATGATAGTCCTCCAAGGTCGGTGTTCTGTTGGTGGGTCCGTAGGTGACTGTGGAGCCCAATTCTTTACCTGAATCTGCTCCCGCAGTGAGGGCATTGGTTTCCAGGTGGAAGGCGGTCCCGGTCGGGGTTGGCTTGACGCGCCTTCCTCTTGGCATGTTTCTCTCTTTCAGCCTCTATTAGTGCCTCCTCAAATCTACAGCACCGCTGGTCACAGCTGAACTCCAGCTGGAGCGCTCAAGGGCAGTTCTTAGTGTCTATGCCAGAGTTTTTAAGGCTGGTTTTGAGCCCATCTTTAAATCTCTTTTCCCGTCCACCAACAATCCGTTTTCCGTTCTTGAGTTCAGAATAGAGCAACTGCTTTGGGAGATGCTGATCAAACATCTGGACAACATGGCCAGTCCAGCGGAGTTGATGGCGGAGGACCATTGCTTCAGTGCTGGTGGTCTTTGCTTCTTCCAGGACGCTGACATTTGTCCGCTTGTCTTCACAAGAGATTTGCAGGATTTTCCTTGTTTATAAAGCTACTGTCCTCCCAATCCTTCTATACGCTTGTGAAACATGGACTGTCTACAGACATCACACTCAACTCCTAGAACGATTCCATCAGGGTTGCTTTTGAAAAATCCTGCAAATCTCTTGGTAAGACAGGAGAACTAATGTCAGCATGCTGGAAGAAGTAAAAACCACCAGCATTGAAGCGATGCTCCTATGCCATCAACTCTGCCAGCTGAGACCATGCATCGAGAAGTCTGACTTGACCATGGTGGTCCATGCTTTAGTTATCTCAAGATTAGACAACTGTAATGCTCTCTAAGTAGGGATGCCCTTCAAGACTGTTCGGAAACTACAGCTGGTGAAAAGTTCAGAGGCCAGATTGTTATCTGGAGCAAGTTACAGGGAGCAGTCAACCCTCCTATTTAAACAGTTCCACTGGCTGCCAATAAGTTTCCGGTCCCAATTCAAGCTGTAAACGGTTCAGGACCTGCCTATCTGCGCGACTGCCTCCTCCCCTACGAGCCCACATGGTCCTTAAGATCGTCCGGGGATGCCCTTCTCTCGCTCCCGCCCCCTTATCTTTTAACCAGCTCGCATAGTGGTCTTCTTTCCCTCCTCCAAAATTAGTCTGCTGTTACTGTTATTATTGTTATGCCGTTTTATGCTGTCTTAATTGTTATTGCTTTGTTTTTAATTGTATTCTGCCTTGGGCTTGGCCCCATGTAAGCCACCCTGAGTCCCTTCAGGGAGATGGAGGCGGGGTAGAAAAATAACGTTGTTGTTGTTGTTCTTCTTCTTCTTCTTTTGTTATTGCCTTTGTTTACTGATGTACTGTGGGCCTGGCCTCATGTAAGCTGCATTGAGTCCCTTGGGGAGATTGTAGCGGGGTATAAATTATTATTATTATTATTATTATTATTATTATTATTATTATTATTATTATTATTATTATTATTATTCCGCTGGACTGGCCACCCTGTCTGAATGCCCGATCAGCATCTCCCAAAGCAGTTACTATACTCCCAACTCAAGAACAGGAAATGTAATGTTGGTGGACAGGAAAAGAGATTTAAAGATGGGCTTAAGGCAAAAACAGTGGCATAGAACTGAGAAGCCTTGACCCTCAAGAGCTCTAACTAGAGGTCAGCTGTGTCCAGCAGTGCTGCAGAATTCGAAGAGGCATGAATGGAGGACGAAAGGGAGAAACGTGCCAAAAGGAAGGCACATCAAGCCAACCCCAACCGGGACTGCCTCCCATCTGGAAACCGATGCCCTCACTGCGGGAGAAGATGCAGATCAAGAATAGGGCTCCACAGCCACCTATGGATCCACCCCCAGGACACTACATTTGGAGGACCATCGTCCTTGGGCTACGAGGGATCACCTAAGTAAGTCAAGTATGGCTCCACTGATTGGATTTGGGATTTTCCTATGTCAAACGTTTTACATGAGTGTTAGAAAAAAAAACACGACAGCGTAAAAAGGAACATCGCATACAATTTTCCCCAAGAAAAAAAACCCAACAATGCAAAAAGGTTACCAAATGCATTTTCCCGGTAAAAGTCTGAAAAGAAAGAAATCTTTCTGACATTGATGGTGCTCTCTCTTAATAATGGGTTGAGCTGCTACGATGGCCCTGAACATTAACTTTGTGGAAAGGCTATTTGTAATACGACTGCCAGACACTGGTGTAGCTTCTGCAATTACCAAAATGTCAATCTGGCCCAATTCCAAAGTAGAGGATATGCAATAAATGCAGAAACTCTCAAGTTCAATGTCTGCCACCTCCGTTTCGATGATCTCAGCAGGTCTGCAATAATAGATCTTTGCTTCAGACCTTACTTGCATAGTAAGTATGGCTCTTAAGGCGTACATTGATTCAAAAGCAGGGAAGTAGGCAATTGATTCATCAGATTTTTTTTAAAAAAGGAAAAGAAATAAAAAAAACCCCTGCTCCCAATAAATCAAGCAACAATTGAAAAAAATAGTATTCCGAACTGCTGATAAAAATGTAAATGGAAAGTACTAATTTAAAAGAAATATTCTTCATTCTTTCGCACAGAGAAATGCCTCTTTTTAGATGACGCCTACAAAACATGGGCAGAATTTTTAAAAGGAAGCCTGAAGGCTATCCTGGTTGTTTCAGAAATATAGGTTTCGAAAAGCTATTCAAAAGTTCAGTCAACACATTCAATTGATTAAATTGCTGAAACACAGATAAAAAATTATAATAGAATTAATGCAAATAGCTGAGCAGTGTTATCTAAATTTTGTCGAAGGTTTTAGTGGCCAGAATCATTGGGTTGCTGTGAGTTTTCCGGGCTGTATGGCCATGTTCCAGAAGCATTCTCTCCTGACATTTTGCCCACATCTGTGGCAGGCATCCTCAGAGGTTGTGAGGTCTGTTGGAAACTAAGCAAGTGAGGTTTATATATCTGTGGAATGTCCAGGGTGGGATAATAATAATATAATAATAATAATAATAACAACAACAATAATAATAATAACAACAACACTTTATTTGTACCATCTCCCCATGGGACTTGGTGTGGCTTATATGAGGCCGAGCACAAACACAATACAAGCAATAATAACAACAATACAAGCAAATAAAATAAAAACATAGACAATAAATATACAACATTATCAATAAGACAACACAAGAAAGATCTCTTGTCTGCTTGAGGCAAGTGTGAATGTTGCAAATGACCACTTGCCTAATTTCCAGTTCTTTCTCCCACCCTGGACATTCCACAGATATATAAACCCCATTTTCCTAGTTTCCAACAGACCTCACAACCTCTGAGGATGCCTGCTACAGATGTGGGCAAAACATCAGGAGAGAATGCTTCTGGAACATAGCCATACAGCCCAGAAAACTCACAACAACCTAGCCCTATCTAATTTCAGGACTCTCTTCCTTACCGCTGATGTCCTTCTCCACCCATGTGAAGGTGATCCCACCTTCCTTGCTGCTCTCACTGAAACGCAACAGGAAGGTTCCTGGGGGTTTTGTGCTCAGGATGGCCCGTTCCCGCTCTTTGCTGATGAATCCCATGATGTACCTGAAGAGGAGGAAGTAATATGGTTTTGCTTCTTCACATGGAGGCATCAAAGTGGAGGTTAATACCATGCAAAAAAAATTGATGGGTATGTTGGATGTCTAGTCCAGTGGTTCTCAACCTATGCGTCCCCAGGTGTTTTGACCTACAACTCCCAGAAATCCCAGCCAGTTTACCAGCTGTTAGGATTTCTGGGAGTTGAAGGCCAAAGCATCTGGGGACCCACAGATTGAGAACCGCTCGGCTAGTCCAACCTTGCAGAATAACCAATAGAAAGAACATCTCCAATGGTTTAACTATGAAGGGTGTCAAGAAAAGGAGAAATCACCCTCAGCTTAAGCAATATTTTGTATTGTCAAATTGTTCTGTCAAAATGTTTCTCCCAATCTAATCTAGCAGTTAATTTTAGAACGGAGCCTTGCTCTCTACAGCAGACCTTGTCTCTGTCCTTCAAGTATGTGAAGAACACTTTCTCACTCTCATGGAGACAAAAGGAAGAGTCTTTTTTTCTCCAAGCTAAACATAACCAGTTACTTCAAATTTCTGTCACATGTATTGTTTCCCATATTTGTTGCCCTCTTCTGTGCTCATTCCAACTGACTATACAGCAGGGTTCTGGGATTTACTGGAGTTTATTTATTTACGACATTTATATGCCGCTCTTCTCACTCCAAAGGGGACTCAGAGTGGCTTACAAGGTATATGTTACATACAATATATTATGTTATTAGCATAGTACAATATCAGCATTAAACATTGCTATATTGCACCATACCACTATATCGTAATATTATTAGTAATATTACATGTAATATATGTAATAGTTTGGTTCCACAGCCTTCATAAATACCAAAATTAATGGATTCTCAAGTGCCATTATATACAATGGCATAGTAAAACTGTGTCCTTTATATAAAACGGCCAAACCAAGGTTAGCTTTTTAGATTTTTTAAAAAATATATTCAAGCTGTGGCTGGCTGAATCCATGTAGCACTATGGAACACAATTTTTATTCCTGAGTTAGGTAAAGGTAAAGGTTTCCCCCTGACATTAAGGCCAGTTGTGTCCAACTCTGGGTGGTTGGTGCTCATCTCCATTTCTAAGCTGAAGAGATGGCGTTGTCCCTAGAAACCTCCAAGGTCCTGTGGCCAGCATGACTGCATGGAACACCATTACCTTCCCGCTGGAACAGTATCTATTGATCAACTCACATTTGCATGTTTTCAAATTGCTAGATTGGCAGAAGCTGGGGCTAACAGTGGGAGCCCACACCGCTCCCCGAATTCAAACCTGCAATTCAAACCTGCAACCTTTCAGTAAGCAAGTTCAGCAGCTCAGCGGCTTAACCTACTGTGCCACCAAGGGCTCCTCCTTCCTGGGTTATAAATGTCATTTTCTAATTGGTTCTATCATAAAAACATGGAAAAAGTTTATTAAACTGCAAAAACTTTTATATCTTCTAGATATTTGTTGAATCCCTAGATCAGTGGTTCAGTGGTTCTCAACCTGTGGGTCCCCAGGTGTTTGGCCTGCAACTCCCAGAAATCCCAGCCAGTTTACTAACTGATTTGATTTCTAGGAGTTGAAGGTCCTTACTTACTTAGACGATCCCTCGTAGTCCGAGGATGATGGTCCTCCAAGGCCGGTGTTCTGTCAGTGGGTCCGTAGGTGATTGTGGAGCCCAATTCTTGATCTGCATCTTCTCCTGCAATGAAGGCATTGGTTTCCAGGTGGAAGGTGGTCCCAGTCGGGGTTGGCTTGACGTGCCTTCCTCTCTTTCACCCTTTATTCGTGCTTCTTCAAATTCTACAGCACTGCTGGTCACAGCTGACCTCCAGCTGGACTGCTCAAGGGCCAGGGCTTCCCAGTTCTCAGTGTCTATGCCAGAGTTTTTAAGGTTGGCTTTGAGCCCATCTTTAAATCTCTTTTCCTGCCCATCAACACTCCATTTTCCGTTCTTGAGTTCAGAATAGAGCAACTGCTTTGGGAGACGGTGGCTGGGCATCTGGACAATGGGCTGGTCCAGTGGAGTTGATGGCGGAGGACCATCGCTTCAATGTTAGTGGTCTTTGCTTCTTCCAACAAGCTGATGTTTGTCCGCCTGTCTTCCCAAGAGATTTGCAGGATTTTCTGGAGGCAGCACTGATCGAATCGTTTCAGGAGTTGCATGTGACGTTTGTAGACTGTCCACGTCTCGCAAGCGTATAGCAGGGTTGGGAGGACAATAGCTTTATAAACAAGCACCTTGGTATCTCTACAGATGTCCCGGTCTTCAAACACTCTCTGCTTCATTTGGAAAAAAGCTGCACTTGCAGAGCTCAGGCGGTGTTGAATTTCAATGTCAATGTTTACTTTTGTGGAGAGGTGGCTGCCAAGGGAGTGGAAATGGTCAACCTTTTCTAATGTTACACCATTAAGCTGTATTTCTGGCATTGGGACCCACAGGCTGAGAACCACTGATCTAGGAGATATTCAACAAACATCTCCTAGCCTCTCAACTAATTCAACATTGTTTGTGGCAGTCACAAAAACAAAGTTTCTGGAGTATACAACTACTTTCAAAGTAAGCACTGCACAATCAAATGGGAAATAATACTTTCAAACCAGGAACAGGTTTTTTGTTACATAGTGTAATCAATGGAAACAGACGGTTAATGTATCTTTGTAGCACTAAGAAATAGACAGAATGGACGTCTGCAGAAGGCAACTGCAATGGTATCCCCAGCAGATGCTCACCCCTCGTTCCAGAGTGCCAGGATGTACTTCTTCACCAGGTCAATGATGTTGTCCAGCCAGACCCAGAAAGAGAAGCCTTTGCCTGCCATGTTCTCCTGTAGAGAGAAGAGATCAAAGGAGAAGCACATAAACAAAATACCAACCACACTTGCTTCAACACCACACTTCATCTTATGAGAGATCCTACCTTACAGAACTTTGCCCAAGTTATCTGACATCCAGAGTAATTTATGCCTGGCCCTGGAAAGAAGAAGAAATAAGGTTCAGTTAAAGTTGTACTGTACAGTGTGTTCAGCGGTTGCAGCATCCTCCCTCGACTGTGATGTGCTAGAGTATTACCCCATCAATAGGGCCAAGCTGGAACTAAGGAGGGCCGGGTTCTAATCCTTTGCTCAACTATAAAGTTCCTCAAGTTACAGTACCTCCGTGCCTGTAACTCTCTCTCAACTTCTCCCATTCACAAGATTATCCTGAAGGCAAAACAGAGTATTGGGGAATCTAGATATGTTACGAGTTTTTAAAACATATGAATATAGTGAAGCACACTTCAAATTTGTAGATTTACATATGAAACTCTATAATAATAATAATAATAATAATAACAACATTTTATTTATATTCCACCCTTCTCACCCCGAAGAGGACTCAGGGTGGATCACAGTATACATACACGGCAAACATTCAATGCCACTTTGTATAGACAATACACATACAGACAGAAAAGAAGGAGGTGGTTTGTTTTGACTCAGTGTCCAGCTGTTTTTGGTGCCATGGAAGGTTGGGCTCGAGTCCAGGGGGTGCTGTTGCTCTATCCTCTATGACGAAGAGCCGTTAGGACTTCCTCCTTCCTTTTAGTCGCCCAGAATTTTCTGATCTTTTTTCTTTATGACGTCGTAAAACACCTCCCCCGCTTTTAGCGGTACCTAATTTCTCTAATCACAGCTAAAGCTGTTTTCGAATTGCTTAGGTGAACAATGAGCTAGGCTGACAGTTGGCAGCTCACGCCAACCTGGGGCTTTAAACTTGCAACTTTTTGGTTGATAGATCTTATAACTGCTGATGATTTACCAGCTGTGCTAAACCTCCGGCCCTCTATGAAAAGCTTCCATTTCAATATTCAGTACTTTGTACATGTTTCAGACTCATACGTCAGTGCTCAACAGAAGGATTTCTGGGATCGAGATCAAACAAAGCCTGGAGTTGTTTTAGTTTTCTTTTGGGACTAAAACACCCAGAACTCCCTTGCCCTCTATAGGTAGTGGCAAGACTAGCCTGCAGGATATTATGAGTTTTATTCCTGAATTGTAACTTTCTGGTTGATATTCCCATATGAGATGGACCAAGGGATGAGGGGGCAGTTCCTTGTAGACTGGCATCCAAGAAGCGGATTGGAGAGATGGCCCAGAAACTAACAAAATGAAGTTCAACAGTGACAAATGCAAGATACTCCACTTAGGCAGAAAAAACGAAATGCAAAGATACAGAATGGGGGACGCGTGGCTCGAAAGCAGTATGTGTGAAAAAGATCTTGGAGTCCTTGTGGACAACAAGTTAAACATGAGCCAACAATGTGATGTGGCGGCTAAAAAAGCCAATGGGATTTTGGCCTGCATAAATAGTATTGTGTTTAGATCCAGGGAAGTCATGCAACCCCTCTATTCTGCCTTGGTCAGACCACACCTGGAATACTGTGTCCAATTCTGAAGGGAGATGTTGACAAGCTGGATTGTGTCCAGAGGAGGGCGAATAAAATGATTAAGGGTCTGGAGAACACGCCCTATGAGGAGTGGCTTAAAGAGCTGGGCATGTTTAGCCTGCAGAAAAGAAGGCTGAGAGGAGACATTATAGCTATGTATAAATATGTGAAAGGAAGTTATGGGGAGAAGGGAACAAGATAGTTTTCCGCTGCCCTGGAGACTAGGACGTGGAACAATGGCTTCAAACTACAGGAAAGGAGATTCCACCTGAACATTAGGAAGAAATTCCTAATTGTGAGAGTTGTTCAGCAGTGGAACTCTCTGCCCCTTCTTTGGAGGCTTTTAAACAGAGGCTGAATGGCCATCTGTTGGGGTGCTTGAAAGCGTTTTTCCTGCTTCTTGGCAGGCGGTTGGACTGGATGGCCCACGACGTCTCTTCCAACTCTATAATTCTATGATCGGAGAGTGAATTACCAAGGAGTTTTTCGGCGAGTGTCGTCAGCTGTTCTATGCTGAGTCCTCGTTTGGTGGTTGAGGAGAACTGCCAGCTAAGCACCTCTGCAACCTGGTCCCACGTGCCAATTGGCGGTTTGGTGAAGAAGTTCACATTCTGCCCAGAGAGGAAACATTTATCAGTTAGAATTTGAAGAAACCAAAACTCTGATTCTCTTTTTTACATCATGTTTTGGGAAGCTCCACATACCTTGGGGTTGTTTGTCAGCATGTTGTACCACAGGATCGACGCCCAAGCGTTTGGCATTTGGCAAATATTGGAGATCACCACCACAGGAAGTGAGTGGGTCTGTAAAAGGGAAAAGCAGTTGTTTTGAGCACGAAAAACCCCTTTCATTTTTCTTTTTAGCCTTCATTGTTTCTGTGGCATAATATATACACCCGCACATATATTTGAACCAGACGATGAAACTATCAAGCTTATAGTCCTCATGCATCATGATGCTAACTGTATTAGGTAAGGAGCTAATAAAATTCCTTCAAATGAGCAGGCAAGGCTGGCATCAACATAAAGCAAAATAAGAGTGAAGAGGTAAAGCAATAAACAGTGTGTGGGTTGAGATGGATTCCTTTTAATCGAAATCTAGAAAAGTATCAACTAATTACTGATTTTCCCTTGTATTTAGAAGGAAAACTAACTGTTGAAAAAGTAACCAAATGGCCTATTGTATGTGTGTGTGTGTGTGTCAGGAGTAACTCAAGAAATGGCAAATTGTTTCTGGTGCAAGAGAATTGGCTGTCTGCAAGGACGTTGCCCAGGGGACACCCAGATGTTTTACCATCCTGTGGGAGGCTTCTCTCATGTCCCTGCATGGAAAGCTGGAGCTGACAGATGGGAGCTCACCCTGTTCCCTGGGTTTGAACCACTGACAAAAGATCTTGGGGTCCTCGTGGACAATAAGTTAAACAAGAGCCAAAAATGTGATGCTGTGGCAAAAAAAGCCAATGGGATTTAGACCTACATCAATAGGAGTATAGTGTCTAGATCCAGGGAAGTCATGCTACCCCTCTATTCCGCTTTGGTTAGACCACACCTGGAATATTGTGTCCAATTCTGGGCACCACAATTCAAGAGAGATATTGACAAGCTGGAATGTGTCCAGAGGAGGGCGACTAAAATGATCAAGGGTCTGGAGAGCAAGCCCTATGAGGAGCAGCTTAAAGAGCTGGGCATGTTTATCCTGAAGAAGAGAAGGCTGAGAGGAAACATGATAGCCATGTATAAATATGTGAGGGGAAGTCATAGGGAGGAGGGAGCAAGCTTGTTTTCTGCTTCCCTGGAGACTAGGACGCGGAACAATGGCTTCAAACTACAAGAAAGGAGATTCCATCTGAACATTAGGAGGAACATCCTAACTGTGAGAGCTGTTCAGCAGTGGAACTCTCTGCCCCGGAGTGTGGTGGAGGCTCCTTCTTTAGAAGCTTTGAAACAAAGGCTGAATGGCCATCTGTTGGGGGTGCTTTGAATGCAATTTTCCTGCTTGGCAGGGGGTTGGACTGGATGGCCCATGAGATCTCTTCCAACTCTATGATTCTATGACAAGGGTTTAACCCAGGGGTCCTCAAAATAAAGCCCGAGGGCCAGATGCGGCTCTCCAAGGCCATTTACCCAGCCCTCACGCAGGGTCAACCTAAGTCTGAAACAACTTGAAAGCACACAACAACAACAACAGCAATCCTATCTCATCAGCCAAAAGCAGGACCACACATCCCACTGAAATACTAATAAATTTATATTTGTTAAAATTGAGGACCCCTAGTTTAACCCATTGTGCCACCAGGGGCTCCTAGCAAATGGCCTATAGATGGGAGGAATAAACCCCTTCAAAAAAGAATCCTCAGAGTAATGACTAAATGTTAGTTGTTACAACTCCACAAAAAGATACCATCATCTATTGCTGGATCAGTTTCAAAAGCAAGAGTGGGCAAAGTGCACCCCTTCAGATGTTGTTGGGCTGCAGCTCCCAGAATTCCTCACCAATGGCTATGCTAGCTGAAGCTTCTTGGAACCCAACATCTGGAGGGCCACACTTTGCTCATTCATGTTCAAAAGGCACATGACTACTTTTTTAGCCCCAAAAGAAATGCATTGAAAAAAACATAATTTTTTCCAAGTTTTTGCTTCAGTTGGTGGTGATAAGAATTGACCCTCCAGAACTTGTTTTTATTGTTTCCATTCTGCTGTGGGTTTCTAAGATATTTTTATGTGCATTTGATGAAAATTATATATAGAACACAGATATCTATTACTAAGATACACAAAGTATTATGTTATTGTTATTGAAACTTCAAATATGATGTCATACGACAGGTTTATTACTTATAAACACAATATAGAGGAACAGAGAAGTTGTTCCTCTATATTGTGTTTATAAACCTGTCATATGGCATCATATTTGAAGTTTCAACAACAATAATACTTTGTGAACATTTGATGAAAGCTGCCAATCTGAGTTTCAAGATTTGGGATTCATGCTCCAGAACTCACACTTTGGTCAGTCATCCATTCAAACACATACACATAAACAGCTGTGCCATTTATTTCAATGGAAAAAGCAGATCTGTGTACAGAGAATATGCATGAAGATCTGCCACATTACACACTTGATTTTGAGTCATGACAATCCCAATTCCATTTTCATAAAAGTTGGCTCTTGGGTGTTACTCTATATAAGTACTCCACTCTATGTTTCTAAGGTCATTTTAAAGAAAGGGGTCTCAAGACATAGAAAACTCCGATAACAGTGTTAAACAAACCCTGCCATAAATGGGGTGGACATAGAGTTATTTTCGTGTCTCACCTCGAGGTCAATCTTCAGCCCTTGGTGGTAAACTTCTGTCTCAAAGGTGATGAGATGGAGCTCTTCTGTGACAATGAGAGAGGCCTGAGGATGTGACACAGAAGAAGGCCAACGTTACTCCAGATTAGTGACTTTAGCATGTTGAAACACTTGCATTTCTAGTTTCATCTCTGCAACCACTGTGATCAGGTAAAGTCACCTCAGAAGTGATAAACAGCCAGAGCCCCAGGGCTATACAGCAGTTTGAACCCAAGTCTCTCCTGTAATTAGCCCTGACAACAGCCAGTATTATTGGGTTTCTGTTTAATAGGAGATCCTTGATAGCAAACATTTTAAGTAAAAGATAAAGCTAGTTGTGTCCAACTCTGGGGGTGGTGCTCATCTCCATTTCTAAGCCGAAGAGTTGGCGTTGTCCACAGACATCTCCAACGTTATGTGGCCAGCATGATGGAATGGAGCATTGTTACCTTCCCGCAGAAGTGGATACCTATTGATCTACTCACATTTGCATGTTTTAGAACTGCTAGGTTGGCCGAAGCTGGGCCTAACAGCAGGAGCTACCCCACTCCCCGGATTCGAACCACCAACCTTTCGGTCAGCATGTTCAGCAGCTCAGTGGTTTAACTGTGCTTAGACACCAAATAAAAGGCTGATTACCCCTGGAAATTTCCACAGAAAAGCTGATATGGGTGAGGGAATGCGAGAAAGAGAAAGAGAGAGAAAGTAGGGAGATGCCAAAAGGGGACTATACTAGCATTTCAAACTGGAGTTACACAAGTCATCAGTCCTACTAGAAAATATTTAACACTAAAGGGTGATGAGTCACTTACATCACAGTTTGCTCTTCCCCCATTACCGCATCTTTGTTCCCGCAACGTCTGCAAGTAGATAAAGAGGAATTGAGAAAAGTTACTAAATACGAAAACATCTAAAATAACAAATGGTTTCGCATTCTCCAAATAATAGATGAGTAGCTGGACTAATGCCAGTGCCACTCCTACCAAGAATACGACCAGTCGCTTCTGGTTTAAGTGAATTGGCTCTCTGCAAGGACATTGCCCAGGGGGCACCTGGATGTTTTATGTTTTACCATCCTTGTGGAAGGCTTCTCTCATGCTCCCGCTTGGGATTTGAACTGCCAACCTTTCGGCCAGCAGTCCTACCTGCACAAGGGTTTAACCCACTGTGCCACTGGGGTCTCCCACCCTGAACTATGGTTTAGTATTATGTCAGAATCAAGTCTGCATGTCCAAAGAGTAGCTTAGCTGAGGAAAGAGAAGAGAGATAAAGCAACAGTGCTCACCAAGTGCTTGAATTCTGCGGAGAGGCTACCATTGTTCGATTCTTCCATGTTCATCACCTTTGTGTTTGTGCCCAGGATGTTAAACTTTCGGGATCTTGACAGGCAAAAAGGAGGGAGGGGAAGGAGGAATGCTTTTAGAATGCTTATGTGTTTAAATAATCATCACTGCCAACAAATGCCAAATCTCAGTAGAAAAAGACATGTTGGGGATCTATGAGCAGAATCTTAGATCTCTTTCACACCGCTCAGATTATGATGGCATTTCGGGATCTGTAGTTTTGTGACATATTTGAAGTCTATGGCAGAAAATTCTAAATACTGCCATAAAACTACAGATTCTAGGATTCCATAGGAGAGAGTTATGGCAGTTGAGAGTAGTTTCAAAACGTTGTAATTGAGTACAGGCAGTCCCCAAGTTACAAACAAAAAAGGTTCTGTATTCTAAACTTTAATTTGTATGAAAGTACATTTTTAAGTGTAACTCCAGCCATATATATGTTTGTGTATATGTGCATATACATATATATACACACACACGAGAGTGGGTCAAAAAGTAATACCTCCATCGCTCTAACTTTTATTTCTTTCACAGCTACTGGACTATCAATTTATGATATGATAGTTAATCTTACTCTACTTTTTTTCTGTGTCAGGGGTGACTTGAGAAACTGCAAGTTGCTTCTGGTGTGAGAAAATTGGCTGTTTGCAAGGACGTTGCCCAAAGGATACCCGGATGCTTTTGACGTTTTACCATTCTTGTGGAGGCTTCTCAGCTGGAGCTGACAGAGGGAGCTCATTCATGCTCTTCCCAGATTTGAACCTCTGACCTGTTGGTCTTTAGTCCTGCGGGCACAAGGGTTTAACCCATTGTGCCACCGGGGCTCCACCTTACTCTACTGATATAGTCTTTTATTTTTCTGATTGAACTGATTAGAACCATGAGAATTTGAAGCTAAAAGAAAGAGTCGTCACTGAATTTCTGGCAAAAAAAGGTTGTGCACTTAAGGAAATTCAGAATTGCTTGAATAATGTTTATGATTTGGTCCCTTCTGACTTTGGCCTGTTTGGACCTCTGAAAAACAACCTACGTAGTTTCAGGTTCAATGACTTTAATGATGTTAAAATAGCTTTAAAATCATTGGTTGTCAAGCAAAACCCTGATTTTTTCCAAAATGGTTTTGATTCTTGGTTAAACAATGGCACAAATGTGTACAAATTGATGGTGACTATGTTGAACGGTAGTTTTGTGTATAGAAAAGTTCATTCATAACATTTTTAGGACACAGGAGGCAAAACTTTTTGACCCACCCTTGTGTCTGTGTGCACAGAAAGAGCTAGCTAGCTAGCTTCGAATAGCATGGGGAAAGGTTAAGGTTAAGGTTAACACCCCTAGTGTTCATTTTGTGATAATTGGAGTTTGAAAATTTTGACTTGTGGAAACAAGGATTGGTGATAAAACTTCAGTTGAGACCCCTTTTCCCCATGATAACTCTTCCAAGAGTGAATTTTCCTTCCAAAAGGTAGATATCTCTCACTTCCTGCTGTCTCACCCTTGTTCTGAACTATGAGTTGCTTGTAAGTCGTACGTTTGTGATTCGGAAACTGCCTGTAGTGTTAAAGAGACCTTTATGAGGTTGCTACAGAGAACAATTCCTTTAACTTACCCTCGAAGGGCAGCCACTTCGCCAGAATCCCTGCAGGAGAGAGAGATAAGAGAAAAAGAAATATCTTGGTTAGAGCAGGAGGAAGTGCACAAAAAGGACTGTTCATGTTGCATAATACAAACATCACAAAAGGTTCAAAGCAGAAGGAAAGCAGTTGCAATTTCACCCCTTCTAGTGCTTCTTTTTAAAGTGTTTAGACCTACTTGTCAATGCAGACTTTGATTTTCAATTGGTAGTTGAGCTCTGGAAACTTAACCAGCAATCTGTAGAAGATAAAATACCATTAACATTTGAGAGCACTATGTTTACTATGTTCTCTGCTGCACACATGGCTTTTAATAACAGAAGGAAAACAACAGTGGTAGTTCACTAGTAAACGCATTGAGAAGGTAACAACAAGGAAGAGGCAGAAAATGGAACTTGCCAAATGAACTAGGTTCCATTGCATACTGCCAGTCTTCAGGCAATAGGATTTTATTATAAGCAAAACTTTTACATATTCTACAATCTGTAATTTCTATCTCATCTTGAGTTTTATCTGTTGCTACTAAGGGTTTGCAACATACTTTTCCTAAGTTTTGGAAAGGATCAGGGTTGTTTCTGTTGCAGCTGGCATAGCTAATTGATGGGATAATTGAGTGTATTGTTATCTCATGTATACAGTAAGCCACTGTGTGTTTTTACTTTGAGCATTGTGTTCTATGCTTTGCTTGAGGGCTCGTTCTGAGGTGAAATACATTTGTTTGCTGCCGGGCAAGACAAGGTCACTCTACGGACAACTGAGTAAGAGATACTGTATATTGTCTTTGTTACAAGTCTGTATATCGGCATTGAATGAAGAGGACTCACCAAAGATATTGTTTTATGTTATCTTTTTGGTGAGAGCAATTCTTCTGTTTTGATTTTGCATGCAGTGAATACAACTTTCTTTTCTACTTAAAGCGAAAGACTCACATGTTTTCTTTTATGAGTTACTTTATCACACTTAATTATCCCATCAATTTTATCTTGTACATGTGGCCCGCTCATTGTGATGGTGATTTATTTATCACTATATTTTTTCACTGTTTTATTGTATTCTTATGTTTTATTTATTTTATTGCGATGTTTTTTCTGTGTTTTGGTTTTATTCTGTTGTAATGCACTATTGGGCTAGGCCTCACGTAAGCTGCCCTGAGTCCACTTTGGGGAGATGGTGGTGGGGTATAAATAAAGATTATTATTATTATTATTATTATTATTATTATTATTATTATTATTATTATTATTATCTGCAACAACATAAGCTAATATTCAGTGTCAATTCAGTATCTTGAATATCTCAAAAATCTAATATTTCTTTAAAAAAAAAGAGGTTGCCTCAATAGACATCAAAATGAATGTGCAATGCTCTTGAAATCTGCATCACCTTTTGCCTCTTCTAAAAATGGAATGCAATTTGGAATTGAGGGCAAGAGACAATCTATATAATTTTCCATAGGCTATAGAACTGAGCTGAAAATTTCAGGTTATTTTGATGCGGAATTTGAAACGTATAACTTCTGCAGTCTTCTTTATAATGACCACCACCCTCAACTCTCTTCTTAACTCTAAAGATGTGTATGCAAGAATACAGTCAAGAACTTACCGCACTTTTGTTGTGAACTGTACCCCTGTTTTGATAACCAATGGGCGATCCGGATGCATGGGCATACAAGGTTGCCGCTCCACTACAAAAGCACTGCAAGGGATGAGAGAGAGAAAACAGTGGTGGAAATCAAAGCAAAAGAGACGTCAGTCCAAACTTTCAAGCCTGGCAAAAAGATTCAAGATGTTCATTGGGACCCTCAAGGACTTTTTTTTTCCTATCTGCAACCCAATCTGTTTTAATAAAGGTAAAGAATTCCCCTTGACATTAAGTCCAGTAGTGTCTGACTCTGGGGGGTGGTGCTCATCTCCATTTCTAAGCTGAAGAGTCGGCGTTGTTCATAGACACCTCCAAGGTCATGTGGCCGGCATGGCGCACCATTACCTTCCCACCTAGGCGGTATCTATTGATCTAATCACATTTTGCATGTTTTCAAACTGCTAGGTTGGCAGAAGATAGGCCTAACAGTGGGAGTTCATCCCTCTCCCTGGATTCAAACCTCCAACCTTTCAGTCAGCAAGTTCAGCAGCTCAACAGTTTAACCCACTGCACCACCAAGGGGCATTCTGTCTAAAAGTTCCCATAATCTATCTTAAACTTCCCATAATATCATAAGTACTGGCACATAGCCATCCTTTGGCTTTGAGCATCTCCAAGCTTTGTTTTGTTTTGGCTAAAAAATGTACACCATGCATTTAAAAATATGTTAGATGAAAATGTGTAAAAACACTCACACCTTAAGTTAAAATTGGGTCAGAATTTGTTGTTTGGGATAAAACACACAACATAATTTGTAGTTTAATGTAAAACACGTAAACACAAAGCCTGCATACTGAAGAAGTAGAAATAAAGAGATTTAAAGATGAGCTCATAAAAACTGAAATGAGCAGGAAACAGCCCATTCCACCTACTCTATAAATTCCACCCAAATTCCACTTCCCTTCTCTGTGAAGATTTTGCTACACAGCCAAGAATGACAGGACATACCTCTTCATGAGGTTACGGAACAATTCCACAATGCGTTCTTCCAGCAAGGGCCGGTGCTGTACGATGGGGTCACCCTTGTATGAGACCTTCTGCTGGAGCTCCTCCAGCTTCTTGATCTGTTGACGTGTCTGAAGTTGTGATTCAGCCAGTGATGTTATCCTGGGAGGAGGCAGAAGGAGAGAAGTAAATGCATACATAGAGAACTCCCCATCATGTCAACTAGACCTGATCTCAATACAGTAAGACCCCTGTATCTGAGATCAGCAGGTAAGGCCCTTCTCTCAATCCCACCAGTGTCTTAAGTACGTTAATCCCACAAATGAACATTACATTTTTATTTATATAGATATACTGCACTTGGAGTGCCTTGTAAGTCGCTTAAGCAGCTGAGGGGGAAAAGGAAGGGGCCCGAGGCTGTTAGGAATTGTGGGAGTTGAAGTCCAAAACACTTAGAGGGGCCAAGTTTGCCCTTGCCTGCTCTAAGGAAGAGAAAGCAAGAGTATCTGGGGCATTCAATTCTCACCAATTCTCCAGGCGATCGAGGCAGATATTGGGTGGGCCACCAATACACGCAATCTGCTGCCTTCTTTTCCAGTCTGCCAGTTCCTCATCCACCAGTGTCTTCTGTACATACTCCATAGCAGACAAAAGTCCAGCCAGCTCACTCACAATCCCCTAGTTGGAAAAAATAAGCCAAAATTGAGACTTCCAGACCTTTCCCATTAGCATTTCTAAATTCACATACACAGCATCGCTCAGGGAGAGCTGTGAAATGATGTGTGAAGCAGTTACCCACCTGAGACCCAGCACTTTTGCATCAACTGTTGCCTCATTAGATATACTAATACTTTATTTATTTATTTATTTACAGTATTTATATTCCTCCCTTCTCACCCCGCAGGGGATTCAGGGCGGATTGTAATGTACATATACATGGCAAACATTCAATGCCATAGACAGACAATATTTATAGACACATCCACAGAGGCTATTTAACATTCCAGCTTTTTCACGAGGGTATTTTGGCCACCAGTGGAGCTGTCGCTTCACCATCCATTTGTGACACTGATGGAGTACTTCCTCATTCTTTGCATGCTTGCTGGAGATTTTTATGGCATCGTAAATTAGCCTCTCCGCATAAGTGGTACCTAAATTTCCTACTTGATAGATGCAACTGTCTTTTGGGCTGCAAAGGTCGACAGAAAGCTACACAAATTGGTCAGAAGCTCACTCTGACCCAGGCTGGCTTTGAATTCATGATCTTTTGGTCAGTAGTGATCTTAATGCAGTTGACTCCCAGCCAGCTGCGAACTCTTCCTTTTACAAAGTGGGGGTATCTCCTGGCCACAATGACTACTAGATAAGTATTTTCCAACCTCTGGTTGAGCTCATGCACTGAAAACAGTGAGATTCAAATCCAGGCAAGCGTGATCCCTATTCATTTCAATGGGTTTACATAAAGCAGGATTAAGTCTAGATCTGATCCTATCGTTTGAAAGCCGTTTCCATGTTTAATAGTGAATTGTCCTGGAATAAAGCATGGAGTTTGTATTCCTGAAAATCTGACTCAGTACTATAAGAAGAGAGACAGTGCCTGTAAGGTGTTTATCTACTTGCCATAAACTCCAGCGCACAACATGGAGTGTGTGCACTTTGTCAAAGCTTGCTGCTTTTTTTGGAGTCTTATGATGCAAAGCAGATCATATCCTGGCTTTCCAGTGAATGGAGACCAAGTTCCTGCAAGAACATGGTTCTTTTCTTCCCTGTCTGAGCAATTCAAGTCAAACCCACAGAAAGGGGATAACTAAGAAAGCTAGCATGGTATGGTAGTTTAAGCATTGGACGATGACTCTGGAGAAGAGAGTTTGAATCCTCACTCATCTATCAAACCCACTGACAGATCTTGGGCAGATCACACTCTCTCAGCCTCAGAAGAAGGCAACGTCAGACCTCTTCTGAACACATTTTGCCAAGAAAGCTATGTGATATGTTCATCTTAGGCTTTTCATAGGTCAAAAACAACTTGAAGGCACACAAAACAAGGATAATAACGGGCAATCTGGACAGAGAGTCTGCCTTCTTACCCTCCGCATTTGATCGAGCGCTGTCAGCATTTGCTCCAGCTGCTGCATCTTCTGTCGGGTTACCGACTGGTTATTTCCATTCAGATCCTGCATGTCTAAAGAGAAAACATAAAGCAGATATATGGAAAGGTTCTGCCGTATTGTGTAATGCAACCCCCCCCCCCCCAAAAAACCAAAGAGTTCACTTTTAGCACTTTCTGAACAGCGCAGAGTTTTGTGGGGAGTATGTCAGTATGATTTTTCATTTTGCTTTTAATTTATTTTCAGTAATAATTCTTATTTAAGATGTGGCAACTACCTTCAAATGTATTCATTTCATGACAGAAATTAGATTTGGTAGACTTCACTAGCTAGCTCTTGGTATTATTATTTATCGTGTCAAAAGTGAGTTGAGGATACAGTTAACATATATTTAAAAATGCAAACTAAGTTTAAAAACTTGGCATTATGCTAAATGTTCTTTGACCAGAAGCTGGCCACTTGGAGTGCCTCTAGTTTCTCTGCAAGAAGGTCCTCTGCTGTGCAAGTGGCAAGGCTCAGGTTGCATTGTAGTAAGTAGTCTGTGGTTTGCATGTTGTGGACTCCACTTTGTAGCCCCATTTCTTAAGGTTAGCTCTGCATCTTGTGGTGGCACAGCGCAGCCTGTTTAGCACCTTCCAGGTCGCCAATCTCCTGTGTTCCCAGGAGGAAGTTTCTCATCTGGTCTCAGCCACTAATTAAGGTTCTGGGTTTTATTTAGCCTGCCACTTTTGGACTCTCGCTTGCTGAGGTGTTCCTGTGAATATCTCTGTAGATCTTAGAAAACTATTTCTTGATTTAAGGCATTGGCGTTCTGGCTGATATCTGAACAGAAGCCAGGCCAGAGATGTCACTGCCTTAGTCCTTTCATTATTGGCTGCTACTTCCTGATGGATGTCAGGTGGTGCAATACTGGCTAAACAGTATAATTTTTCCAGCAGTGTAGGGTGTTGACATCCTGTGACAATGTGGTATGTATCATTAAGAGCCACATCCACTGTTTTAACGTGGTGAGATGCATTCTTACTTGGTAAGAAGTGAGAAATCAGCCTCCTTGTCACTTCTCTGGAGCAACTTGAAGCATCAGTCTCTCTCATTCCCATTTCAAAGCATCCTTCTGCAATCTGGGACCTTTTCCATTTGCACTGAAGGAAAGTCTCATTACTGTCAGCCAGCACATCCATATTAACTGGGGATGATGGAGGGTTCTCACCCAATATATCTAGAGGGTATTGAACTGGAGGAGGTTGTTTTGTTTTGAGGCTCTTCCTATTGCTTCTTACTTACTATCAGTGAATGTTTACTCAATGGATTAGACTCCATTAAAAAATACCCCTCAAAATACCCTCATTTCTTTCAGCTAGTTTGCAGCAATATTTTTGCTTTCAGGTTTTTTCAAAATACATTTTCTAAATTGCATACAGAACACCAAACACTGCTATACAGTGAGGCTTGATATTGTTAACACCAATTGCAATAGTTCTCTTCAAATGGAAGTTAATTCTTTTCACATCTAGAGTCATGTGGAACAAGGTCCTACTTACCTCCTTGACTCTTCAAAGTCTTGTAGTTGAAGTCAAAGTCATCCTGGAGATTTTCTACCACCTTCATCTTTTGCTCGAGGTCCTGCAAGAAAGCCAGGAAGATTACATGGGACTCACATCTCTCGGGCAATCTGAAATCTGAGATCAAGGAAGCAAAGGCATGGCCTCTCCTTCTTACCTGCACCCTCTTCCTCACATCTTGAAGGTGTTGCTCCAGCATCTGCTGCTTCTCTGTCACAACTGCAGCTGTGGGATGGTTTGCCTGTCCACCTTGCTATAGTGAGAAGACAAAGAAATTGGTTTTATAATAACATAAGAGCGTGTTTCTCAACCTGGGGGTTTAGACCTCTGGGGAAGTCATGAGGGGGTTGCCAAAGACCATCAGAAAACACAGTATTTTCTGTTGGTCATGGGAGTTCTGTGTAGGAAGATTGGCCAATTCTATCGTTGGTGGGGTTCAGAATGTTCTTTGATTGTAGGGTGAACTATAAATCCCAGCAACTACAACTCCCAAATGACAAAATAAACCCCCCAATCCCACAAGTCAAGGTGTATTTGCCTCAAACTCCTCCAGTGTTCACATTTGGGCATACTGAGTATTCATGCCAAATTTGGTCCAGATCTATCATTGTTTGAATCCACAGTGCTCTCCAGATGTAGGTGTACTACAACTCCAAAATTCAAGGTCAATGTCCATTACTATTTTTTGTCGGCCATGGGAATTCTGTGTGCAAAGTCTGACTCAATTTCATTGCTGGTGGAGTTCAGAGTGTTCTTTGATTGTAGGTGAACTATAAATCCCAACAACTACAAATCCCAAAATCAACCCCCCCCCCCCCCAATCCCACCAGTATTCAAATTTGGGCGAATCTGGTATTTGTGCCAAATTTGGTCCAGTGAGTGAAAATACATCCTGCATATCAGATATTTACATTTATAACAGTAGCAAAATTACAGTTATGAAATAGCAACGAAAATAATTTTATGGTTGGAGGGGTCACTATATTTTGGGGTGGCGGCATTAGAAAGGTTGAGAACCACTGACATAAGAGTTTCCACTATATGTCACAGCATTTATGTATTTAAAAGGGGCAAAAGAAGGCATAAATAAATCTGCATTTACTAATTGAAAGTGCACATTGAATAGCATTGAAACAGGAATACATCACATCTCACTATGATGTAATTATTCCACTGATCCTCTAGGCTTGGGCTGTTTCATACTTTGGTTGAGTACAAATACGGGAAGGAAAAGGGTGGAGGGGTTGAGTTTGGTTGGGTTTTCACGCCTATGGAACTCATGCATCACACTTATAGTTCCTGGCTTGGTTCAAGGAGTTCTTGGGGTCAGGGAGAAGGCACTGTTTTAAAGCAACATTGCAGATCTTCCCACTTAACAGAAGACTGTCAAAATCCCACAATGGCAGCCAAAGTTATGTTCTCCTGATGCTGAACTCAAGGGGGAGCAATTCCACTTCAAAAGTGATAGACATTGCTCACTTTAGGAAGAAGCCCCATTTTAGGCAGTTGTGAGTGGTCATGCAGCTCGTAGGTAGACTCAGTATTTGCTTTCTTTCTAAGAGCAGAATGGACTGCTGTGTCAAGAAATAGATTCTTTCTGTCTGGAATAGTGGTGCCTAGAAGCAGGAGGTAGTGTAAACAGGGGACTACTTAGATGCATATTGTTTCTATTTCACAACATTTGGGTAGAAGGTAATCATCACAAGCCAATTGAGAAGCCATGGCCCTTTAGCGTTCTAACTGGAAGTCACCTGTGACCAGCAGTGCTGCAGAATTTAAAGTGGCACGAATGGAGGGCAAAAGGGGAAAATGTGCCAAGTGGAAGGTGTGTCAAGCCAACCCTGAGTGGGACCACCTTCCACCTGGAAACTGATGTTCTCACTGTGGGAGAACATGCGGATCAAGAATAGGGCTCCACAGCCACCTACGAACCCACCGCCAAGAGGCCCTACTTGGAGGACTATCATCCTTGGGCTATGAGGGACTGCCTGAGTGAGTAACAATCATTATGTAGAATTTTAATAATGAACAGGAAAGTGTTTATTTTAGGGGTCACATTGTCAAAAAATCTTACACTTTGCTAGATGCTACTTGACCCTCATTTTGTGAAGGCGGGCTCAGATACAGGTTTACAGCAGATATATATATATAGCTTGCACAGTTACTTATCATTGGTCATCTGGTGGGATATCCTGGGAACTGAAATCTAAAACATCTGCAGTGCCAAAACTTTCCCAACCTTGAATTAATGTGTGTTTCCTCAATATATATTTTTATTTTAGATTGGAGTGTGAGGTAGGAAAGGGGACACTGTATGACAGTGTATTCCCATACCTGTCTACTACAATGACTCCCAGGTTACTATGTATAATAAGCAGTGGCAGTGCAAGTGTATGGAAATGTATCAAAATTGCATTATAGTAAAAAGGACCAAAATATGTTGAGATGCTCCTGATACCATAAAATATATTTAAGAAGTACAGTAACAATTTGTTGCTCCAATACAAGAGTTGCAAATCACAGCAGTTCCGTGGTTTTATTGTTTTCATGTTGTTGTATTTTATTCTATGTACTAGCCGTCCCCTGCCATACGTTGCTGTGGCCTAGTCTGTGAATATATGTGTGTATATATGTGTCTGTGTATATATATATATATGGTTTTGAGCATGTGTTGTAATGTACTTGGGGGGGGGGGGGTTAAGTCTCTTCCCCTGTGTTTTTCAGTGTTTTTATAAGTGATGGTCACTCGTTGGCCTGATAGGTGTATTGTGTCCACATTTTGTGTCAATTCGTCCAGTGGTTTTTGAGTTATGCTAATCTCACAAACAAACATTACATTTTTATTTATATAGATTATGTATTTTATGTTTGGCGTCTTTGTGTGCTGTTTCGGAAGCCACCCAAGATTATTATTATTATTATAAAGATGATGATGATGATGATGATGATGATGATTATTATTATTAGAAACATAACAAGATTAGTAAACAGCAAACAAGGTCACTATACTGCCTATTGTATTGGACAACACGTCAGACACTTCCCAAGTGTCTAGGACTGTGTGATATATTGGCGATTAATGCATGCAGATCCCAGTAGGGTGGCCTTTTGCAGCTGACAGATGGTAATTTTGTCAGCACCAATTGTGTTTAAGTGCAGGCCAAGGTCTTTAGGCACTGCACCCAGTGTGTCGATCACCACTGGGACAATCTTTACTGATTTGTGCCAGAGTCTTTGCAGTTTGATCTTTAAATCCTCATATCGTGTCAGCTTTTCCAGTTGTTTCTCTGCAATCCTGCTGTTGCCTGGGATTGCAACATTGACAATCCATACTTGGTTTTTTAACACGATCGTGAGGTCAGGAGTATTGTGCTCCAAAACTCTTGTCAGTCTGAATTTGGAAGTCCCAGAGTAGTTTGACATGTTCATCTCTCTAACTTTTTCAGGCTTGTGATCCCACCAGTTCTCTGTCACAGGCAGATGGTATTTGTGGCACAAGTTCCAATAAATAATAATAATAATAATAATAATAATAATAATAATAATAATAATAATTATTATTATTATTATTATTATTATTATTATTATTATTATCCATCTGTCTTTATGACCTTGTAAGAGACGAAATACTTTATCCATCTAATATTTTATCATTATTTTGGGGAAATGACTTATTGCTTGGAAACATTTTTATAAAAAGGTTGTACAACTATATTGTGGATCTTTTATCTTGGGATCCTTTTAGCTATTGATGAGAATTGCATGCAATAGCCTACTGGATGCTTTTGAACTCTAAGACTCAACCATCCCCAATCAGCATGGCCACTGCTATTCGGAACCATGGGAAGAAACATAGATAAAACTGTTTTGGACTCAGTCTCCTTTAATTCCACTTCCAGTGTGCAGTTTAAATCATAGTTTGGGAAAGTTGCTTCTTTGGATTACAATTCCTAGAATCCCAAGTCAGCCTAGTCTACTCTAAGAGTTGTTGTCATCTTTTAAAGATGGTATCTCAGAGCTTTAATTTAAAGCCAAGCATGAGAAAGGAAACATGAATTCCCAGGTTAAAGGGGAATGCTTAGAGTACAGCGGCACACAATGACTTGTTGAGCACAATGTAGCTAGGAGGCACCATTTCCTGAGAGCAGAGCTATGGATTTTTGGAAAGCTTCAAAATGAGGACTAATTTTCTCTTGGCTCACAAACATGCTACTCACAAACAGAGCAAGGGGGACCCAGGAAGGTGTGTTGATCCTGATGTGTCCATGCATGCACAGAACCACCCAGGTGGTCCACCATCTGTATTTTATTTTGCAGTAGCCTTACATGAACCACTGTTGTGGCACAGTAGGACAGGCAAGCAAAAGCAGCCTCTTCTCACCTGAGCCGCTGTTGCTGCTGTTTGCAGCAGACGGTTCTCTTCCCAGAGGCAACGGGCCACAATGCGGGCAATCTCCATTGGCTTTTCCAGGTACCGGCTCTGTGAAAAGAAAAAAGAAACCAAATGAGCCGTCACAAAGTTGGCTCAGTCTTCCATGACTAGGCTTGCGATTTGGATGCCAACCCTTTGTCGAAATTACCAGTATTCTCCTTGATATCTAGTCTTCTCCCCAGTCTGAAAGTCAAGGTGAAAGGGATGGCCATGACTGAACAAAGGTAAACAGAGATGGAGCATTTACACCAGATTTGGTGTGTGTCTGTGCAATGTAAAGACAGTGTCATGCTGGTTTCGGATTCAGAGCAGCAGGTGAAGAAAACACGCCAGGCGCCCAACAAGAGCAGCCGAGAATTTATGTCCTGCAAGATGTCCTCGTAAAAGTTAAAATAAGTCTGGTATGGGTCATCTTGTCAGCTAAAGGACTTAGCAGGTCCTTAAACCCTGTAGAAGGACACCCAAAACCTGTATCAGCTCAGATGATGCAACAGCTTTTGTGCAGATTTGGAAAAGTTATATTTTTGGACTACAGAGCCCAAAGCCTGGGTCATGCTGCCTGGGATTTCGTTGTACCAGAAAGTAACTCTTTCCGGCTCTGGTTGACCATTCACATGCATATATTTGGTGAGGGAAAAAAGGAAAGGGGTAAAAAAGTCATGCTTTGAGAGGAATGTTTTCATGGCTGTTCATGCATAATTGAGATCCTGCTAAAAGGGCAATAGGGAAAACAAATATGTGACATGCTTAAAAGCACACAACTGCAGAATTAGTTAAATTCTAGTCTATTATATTGCCAGTTTTAATTTTATTAAATCTATACACTGCTCCCTCATTAATATCACACTATTTATATTGTTATTCTTTACATTTTTTCCGTAGACTTAGTGTTACATAGCATTACAGTTGTCTGCCTTTGGGCCTTCCCCAGACTCCAGCCCACAAGAAATATGGCTACAATCTCAAAATGTGGAAAACTGCTAAACCAATCTTCAGAATTGGTGCTTTGATGCAACTTTTGTTTCATTTTGTTTATTTTGTGTGAAATGCTTTAAGACCGTGCATGTTTTTCATTTTTGTCTTGAGTTTTCTATCATTCTCTTTGAAAGTGCTTTTGTGCAACACCCCCCCCCCCTCAGAATAATAAAATATTCCACACAATAAACTTAATTCTAAGGAAGTTTGTCTAAATGCACAATGATATTCCACATCTCATACTTTAGTTTTGCAATCTGACTATGATGACAGTCAGATTAATTTATATGTGCTCTCTTAGTTTAGCTTGCAATTTTGGGAACTTACAATATCGGCAGCTCTTTTTTTAATTTGAAGTGCCAAGGGCACAATAGAAATGTTGACGAATGCACAGAGATGTGGGAAGTAGGTCCAAGGAAAGCAATGCACTGGCTGCCAATATGGCTCTGATCTAAAGTCAAGGCATTTGATAACATTTGAAGCCCAAAATGGCTTGGAAACTCGATATTTGATAGAACAATTTTTCCTATATCAAGTGGGATATAGAGAACCTCGGAGATTGCAGAAGCATTCTCTCGTGAAGTTTCGCCCACATCTATGGCAGGCATCCTCAGAGGTTGTGAGGTCTGTTGGAAACTAGGCACATGAGGTTATATCTATCTGTGGAATGTCAAAGGAGGGAGAAAGAACTCTTGTCTGTTGGCAGCGTGTAAATGTTGCAATTGGCCACCTTGATTAGCACTGAATAGCCGTGCAGCTGCAAAGTCTGGCTGCTTCCTGCCTGGGGGAATCCTTTGTTAGGCAGTTAGCTGGCCCTGATTGTTTCCTATTTGGAATTATTGTTTTCTTATAGTTGTTCTTTATTTACTGTCCTGATTTTAGAGTTTTTAATACTGGTAGCAAAATTTTGTTCATTTTCATAGTTTCTTCCAGTCTGTTGACACTGTACACATGCTTGTGGATTTCAATGGCTTCTCTGTGTAGTCTGACATGGTGGTTGTTAGAATGGTCCAGTATTTCTGTGTTCTCAAATAATATGTTGTGTCCAGATTGGAATCCTTCTGGAATATGGCCATACCAGCCTGGAACACACACAGCAACCTGGTTTACTACTGTTTTATGCGGTGAGTGTTACTGCTTTACATTTTACGTCTTTTAATTTACTCTCTCTGGGAACCACCATGGGTCCCACTCTGGGTGAAAGGTAGGATGCAAACAGTATAAACAATCAAACAATACACAATTAAGGCTTGCTGTTCCCACCTGCAGAAATTGCTTGATCCGGCGAAGGTTGTGCTGATAGAGAACGTTGGATTCTTGAAGAAAGCGGCTGTACTGCTGGTCAATTTCTCCCAAGAGGTTGTGAAACACCAGTGTGGCATGGGACTCCTTGCTGGCGGCATATGCCCTGCGGTAATTTTGGGGGTGGAAAGAGAAAAGGAAGAAAACAAAAAAAGAGATCTGAAATAACACTCTTTATGGCAGCGGAGGGCAGAGTACAGCCCTAGGGACATGTTTTTTCCGCATCTTCACCACTAGTTGTTCTTACAGCCCTCAATCCCTTCAATCTTCAACCAGGATTACTTCCTGATTTTGTATCTTTAGGAATTTTTGACATTGTGTCTTCTCTAGAAGACCCTGCACCAGAGCACTGACCCTTAACTCACTGTTTAGAGCAGTGGTTCTCAACCTTCCTAATGCTGTGACCCCTTAATACAGTTCCTCATGTTGTGGTGACCCCAACCATAACATTATTTTCGTTGCTACTTCATAACAGTAATTTTGCTACTGTTATGAATCGTAATGTAAATATCTCATAGGCAGAATGTATTTTCATTCACTGGACTAAATTTGGCACAAACACCCCATACAGCCAAATTAGAATAATGGTCGGGTTGGGGTGTGTGTGTGAATTTGTCATTTGGGAGTTGTAGTTGCTGGGATTTATAGTTAACCTACAATCAAAGAGCATTCTGAACTCCACCAACAATGGAATATTGGCACACAGAACTCCCATGACAAACAGAAAATACTGGAAGGGTTTGGTGGGCATGACCTTGAGTTTTGGAGTTGTAGTTCACCTTCATCCGGAGAGCATTGTGGACTCACACAATGATGGATCTGGACCAAACTTGGCACGAATACTCAATATGCCCAAACATGAACACTGCTGGAGTTTGTGGAAAACAGACATTGACATTTGGAAGTTGTAGTTGCTGGGATTTATAGTTCACCTCCAATCAAAGAGCATTCTGACCCCCACCAACGATAGTATTGGGTCAAACTTCCCACACAGAACTGTGTTTTCTGATTGTCTTTGCTGACCACTCTGACACCCCCTCATGACCCCCCAGGGTCCCGACCCCCAGGTTGAGAAACACTGGTTTAGAGTAAAACCAACAATATCTCAAAGGCTAAGTAATGTGTTAAGTTATGTGCTTTCACAGACTGTAACCCATTGTATTGGATATACAACAAAAATGTTATGAGACATTTTTAAGTTGTTATGATGCTACAGGACTCTTTGGCCAGCCCTTTGGAAAATCTTCAGAGTGTGATCTTTAAGGCTAAGAATTTCCATTGAGTCTGTTGAATGCTCTTCTCCATTAGAAGCAGGAAGTGTAATTAATGTCAGGAAGCTCCTGTGTGTTTTCGCAAAACAAACAAAGGTTTCTGTCCATTTCCAACTGAGTTGTATAAGCACAATTCGGGGAACTCAAGAGCATCCACCGTTGATTAAAGATAATCAGAATTGTCAACTAACTATCAAATGCATTGTGTTTATTTCTTTCCAAGTTATAGGATACCAGTTTGACAACCCAGACATGATAAAGAAAGGAGTCTAATGTTTTAAACCACCAGAGCAGGACTTGAGTCCTGCCTATTATATGGGTTTGTAACTGGTGCCATTTTCAGAGAACATGTAAGAGCAACTGGGTTGTAATTCTACATGTCTGACAGGCATCTGATTGAGGAATTTGGTCTCAGATTTTCAACCAGTGGCTTACAGACCAATGGCCCTTCCACACAGCCATAAAACCCAGAATATGAAGGAAGAAAATCCCACAATATCTGCTTTGAACTGGGTTATCTGAGTCCACATTGCCACATATTCTTGTTCAAAGCAGAAAATGTGGGATTTTATTCGGCTGTGTGGAAGGGGCCCAAGTCTGATTCTGTCTGGCCTATTTTGGCAGCCAAAAACTTTTCCAAGGTCTACGGAAAGATAAATATACAGTTGGCCCTTTATATCCACAAATGCAACCATCCATGGCTTGAAAAGAAATCCTTCATTCAAAAAACATATCCAAAAAGCAGATCTTGATCTTAACATTGTATGTTGGGGCTCTTGATGGCACAGCAGATTAAACCGCTAAGCTGTTGAACATGCTGTCCGAAAGGTTGGTGGTTTGAATTTGAGGAGCAGGGTGAGCTCCCGTTTTAGTACCAGCTTCTGCCAATCTAGCAGACTGAAAACAAGCAAATGTGAGTAGATGAATACTCTGGCGGGAAGGTAACGGTACTCCATGCAGTCATGCTGACCACATGACCTTGGAGGTGTCTATGGTCAACATCAGCTCTTTGGCTTAGAAATGGAGATGAGCACCAACTCCCAGAGTCAGACACGACTGGACTTAATGTCAAGGGGAAACCTTTACCTTTTCTTATGAAGGGGACAACATTTTGCATTGCCTTTATATATAACTAGCTGTCCCCTGCCACGCAATGCTGTGACCTAGTCTGTGTATGTTTTTTGTGTGTATATATTTGTGTATATGTGTATATATGTGTGTTTGCTTTTATATATGTGTGTGTGTGTGTATGGTTTTGTGCATGCATTGTATTTTTTTGTTTGTTTTTGGCTTTTAAAGTCCCTTCCGCTGTGTTTTCCAGTGTTTTTATGAGTGATGGTCACTTGTTGGCCTGATAGGTGTTTTGTGTCCAAATTTGGTGTCAATTCGTCCAGTGGTTTTTGAGTTATGTTAATCCCAGAAATGAACATTACATTTTTGTTTATATAGATGGGACTTGAGTACCCATGGTTTTTAGTATCCACAGGTGGTTGTGGAAACCAAACCCCAAATAATACTGAGAGTTAACTGTACAAGCATTTCAACTGAAAAATAAATGAATTTTCAAGCTGTAAGAGAGAGTAAAGAATTCTGTACTTTAATGTGACATTCCATTTAACTTGGCTTTCATGATACCTTAACATAACATGTGCTCCTCAAATGTGAAACCTCTAGATCCGGATTGCATGATTTTGTCCTTCCATCTAATTTCACAAGGTTTCTGCAAGTGATTATATATCAGACCTATGTTCATAGAGTAGGTAAGATACTTTTTAGACTACAACGCCCAAGTGCTGGCTGGGGATTATGAGAATTATAGTGTAACCTTTCCAAGCTCTCCTTCGAGTGACAGTAGGTTTTCTTTGTAAGCCTTCCCAGCTCTGACTCATTGCGGCAAGTGGATAGAGATAGGAAAAACTGAGAAATTGCACCACTTATAAAGAAGTCATAAAACCCTCGACTAACTGGCTGACTGGGGTTTATAGCAGCCCACTGTTATCTGCATGAAAAATATAGCACAATTAATGTTTGGCCTTTGGACTACTCTCTAGGGCAGGCACATCCGAAGTCTGGCATGGGGGCCAATTGTGGCTCTTGTTTAAATTTCCACTGGCTCTCTCTCTTCCTTTACTTTCTTTTTCTCTTCATTCTTTCCTTCCTGGGGATTGTGGTCCTGGAAAAGGCAGGCTCCTTAGGAGGAGAGAAAGAGAGATGGCAGCCTCTTGCATCCCTTCACCCTGATAAAGTGTCGCCTTCTTCTCGGGTGGCTCCAACCTCAGGCCTCCCCCCGCCCTGCAATTTTTCTTTATTTCTTTGCAAAGGAAGGCTTCCTAATGGCCTTGGTTGCCCCAGGCGCTCACTGATGCCACTGCCACATGGCCAAGGGCAGGCCTTGTAGGCAGAGCACCTGCCTGGCTTCCCTCCCTCCCTTCCTTCTCCACCCCACCTCTGTCCCATGTCACTGCCCTGAATTTTCCAAAAAGGATACCCTTTACTGTGTCTCCTCCCTTGGGTGGAAAGAAAAGGGGAGAGCCGTAAAAGGTAAAGGTTTCCCCTGACATTAAGTCCAATCGTGTCCGACTCTGGGGTGTGGTGCTCTTCTCCGTTTCTAAGCCAAAGAGCCGCCGTTGTCCGTAGACACCTCCAAGGTCATGTGGCCAGCATGACTTCATGGAGCACCATTACCTGCATGGAGCGCCGTTACCTTCTCACCGGAGCAGTATCTATTGTTATACTCACATTTGCATGTTTTCGAACTACTAGGTTGGCAGAAGCTGGGGGCCCTTTTGCCACATCCAAAGCTCTCCTGACAGATGGTCATGCCGCTTCTGCTGAAAAATCCCCAGAGAAGGAGACACCACCAGACTCTGAGGCAGCATATGCCACTGTCTGAAATGGCTTGAGGGCACACAACTTGACTCTCTCGTCAGGCAAATGCAGGGCCACACTTCCCTTTGGAAAACTGGTATGTTTACATTGGTAAAATTGTTCTTTGTTTAATATATTGTACTTGCCGTGCTGTGGCTTCGCCTTGCTGTGGCTCAGTCTGTGTATATGTGTGTTGTGTGTGTATATATGTGTATATGTGTGTGTATATATGTGTATATGTGTATATATGTGGTTTTGCACATGCATTGTAATGTTTTGGGGGTTTTTTTGGCTTTTAAAGTCTCTTTTGCTGTATTTTTTTTAGTGTTTTTATGAGTGATGGTCACTCGTTGACCTGATAGGTGCATTGAATTTGGTGCCAATTCGCCCAGTGCTTTTTGAGTTATGTTAATCCCACAAATGAACATTACATTTTTATTTATATAGAAGAATGTTATTTTATTTATTTATTTATGTATTTATTTATTGCACTACAAGTAAGACATCTGCATAGAAATGCGTTCATGTTTTTTTCAAACTATGGTTTGGCTCCCCAACAGGCAAATGGACCGTGAACTGGCCCTCGGCTTAAAAGGTTTGGACATCCCGATCTAGAGAACGGAGTATTTCCCCGATAAAAAGAGACAACCTATGAAAAAATATATCGACTTTAACCATGCACGTTAACTGAAAAGTTCAATGGCTCACCAGTCTTGGCTCTCAATCCAGGGTGCAAGGAACTGCCTCAATTCCATTGGAAAGCTGTCACTGTAGAGTTGGTGGAGCTGCTCCAAATACCGTGTGTCCAGCTGCTGAAGTTGGTTCCATTGCGCCATCTTGGCAGCTGACTCTGGAAACTAGGAAACATACAAAGATTTTATATCAACCATCTATTTCTGGATCCCAGAAGACAGGAGCAGAATTCCTTCTATTTTTATCGGTTTTATCCTAATTTATGCAATGCTTTTGATACGAAATAAATACATCCAATTCCAACATAAAGTCATTGCTTTCTAACAATCCAAAATGAAGACCGGCTCCAATATTTGCTTCCAAGTTTTGTGATTCTAATATAAATTTATACAATAAGTAGTATGTGACACGTTTTAAGTTCCGTTCTTCCACTAAGACATCCTCACATAGTTTGCAGAACATTGCTATCAATAGGTTGTTGAGTTTTTTTCGGGCTGTATGGCCATGTTCTAGAAGCATTCTCTCCTGATGTTTCGCCTGCATTTATGGCACACATCCTCAGAATTTGAGTGGTCTGTTGGAAACTAGGAAAAATGTGTTCATATATCTGTGGAATGTCCAGAGTGAGAGAAAGAACTCTTGTCTGTTGGAGCTAGGTGTGAATGTTTCAGTTGGCCACCTTGTTTAGTATTTGATGGCCTGAAAGTTTTTAGGTGTGGCTTGTTACTGGGGAAATTTTAGAGTTTTTTAAATAGTGGTAGCCAGATTTTGTTCATTTTCATGGTTTCTTCCTTTTTGCTGAAAAACTCTAAAATTATAACAGTAAATAAAGAACAACACTCAAACAACTCCAGACAAGAAACAATCAGGGACAGCTAATGATGATGATGATGATAATAATAATAATAATAATAATAATAATAATAATAATAATAATAATAATCTTTATTTATACCCCGCCACCATCTCCCCAAAGGGGACTCGGGGCGACTTACATGAGGCCAAGCTCAGAAATGCATTACAATACAATAACAAAAAACATAAGCGAATCACCTCTCAACAAAGGATTCCCCCAGGCAGTAACAAGTCACACCTAAAAACTGTCAGGGCATCAAATGCTAATCAAGGTGGCCAATTGCAACATTCACACTTGCCTCATGCAGACAAGTGTTATTTCTCTCACCCTGGACTTTTCACAGATATATAAACCCAATTTTCCTAGTTTTCAACAGACCTCACAACCTCTAAGGATGCCTGCCATAGATGCAGGCGAAACGTCTGGAGAAAATGCTTCTAGAACATGGCCATATAGCCTACAACACCCCAGTGATTCCAGCCATGAAAGCCTTCGACAATACATTGCTATGGATATCTTTGTCATTGTAAATGAATATTCAGCTAGCATCCAGTAAGACGAGATAGGGATCTGATGTGCAAAAATGATGCTCATAGCAGGGAAAAAGGTTTACACACTTCTGAGAAATAGGAAATTATTATGGTATATCTTTGAGCTTATCAAGGACATATCAGCCTACAGAGCTAGCCTGAAGGCAAAGAATAAGCCCCACCCTACTCTATGACTCCATATACAGGAACTAACTAGACTAGTCCTATTACCTGACACTTTATAGCACTATTATTCCACTTTTACTGCAATGACAACATCATATGGAATTGTGGGATGTGCAGTTTAGGAAGGGTTCTTCGAATTCTCAGACACTGAATTACAAATCCAGGAATTCCCATAGCAATTAGAAGTGAAATAGTAGTGCTACAACAAGGTACTCTCATAGGGCACGTACGTCACAACTGTCAAGTTCTTTCTTTCATTGATTCAGTCACTCAATATGTTGCCTTTCTTCCATCACAACACCCAAGGAAGGTAGCTTACAATAAATTAAAGGAAAGCACAGCATATTTCTGCCACACAAAACAAGAGCCAATGACCTGTGGTACACCTACACCAATAACAACAACAACAACTTTATTTATACTCTGCCACCATCTCCCCGATTCAGGGAGGCTAACATGAAGTCAAGCCCAAAAATAATACAGCAAAGTTCGACACAAAATAGAAAATATACATCACAACAAAATACATAAAGTAACAAAATAAAATAAATAGTGCAAAATGACATAAAACAAATCAAATATAAAACTTCAGCTTTCATGAGTCCATAGCATTGCATCATAGAAATTAAAGTGGTGTCAAATTCTGTGTTGATGCACTTGTGCCGAAATTCAAAAGTAGTAGGAAAGCACTGTGTCTACTATACCAAAAGACAGCAGGAAAACTTATAGAGGACAAGGCAAGCCTCCTTTTTCCTAGACCCTTTCATCTCTACATCTTATTTCTTTCTTCCAAGACCTTGATGGTGTTCATCAACTTCTAGAATTAGGATAGACATAGATGGTAAGAAGATGTAACCAACAATGTTTTGGTTTGCTGTGAGTTTTTCAGGCTCTATGGCCATGTTCCAGAAGCATTCTCTCCTGACGTTTCGCCTGCATCTATGGCAGGCATCCCCAGAGGTTGTGAGGTCTGTTGGAAACTAGGCAAGTGGGACTTATATATCTGGAATGTCCAGGGTGGGAGAAACAACACTTATATGTTTGAGGCAAGTGTGAATCTTGCAATTGGCCAGCTTGATTAGCATTGAATGGCCTTGCAGCTTCAAAGCCTGGCTGCTTCCTGCCTGGGGGAATCCTTTGTTGGGACAGAAGTTTTTTTTAAAAATCACATTTGGGATAAAGGTTTTTAAAAGGGCAGTCACTCCCTTTTCACCTGTTCCTGAACCACAAAACCCATCATTGGCGGCAACTAGCCAGGGGGGTGATGGGAACTGTACTGCAACAAACTCCACTTCTGCACCCCCAGATCATTAGGCATTGACTGAGAGATAATAATTCAATAATTTCTTTCTTCAAATGCAAATCAGAATTACTGCGCTCATCTCCTATTTTTGTTTAATGAGGGAAACAAGGCATGACAGCATGAGGAAATACCTTTCTGTTTCCAAAAAAGAGGAAGAGGAAGAGGAACCTTGGGGCAACACCAAATGACCACTTTCTCAAAAGTTACACAAAGCAGAAGTGTGTGGTTTTAAATTCTATAATCATGACACATAATAATAATAATAATAATAATAATAATAAACATAAGCGGCCAAGCTCTAACACCGACTTACTAAAGCGATGTTGACAAAACGGCAAATCCCTCTCGATCAATTTTTGATCTGACAGCTTCATAGATGAGCATGCTCAGGGACATTAAGTCTGGCAGGAAAAAACTTGTTTAAAATTGTAAGGGGAGGAAAAGAGCCTGATGGAAAACCGCGCAAGATAAGTAGCCATAGAAATGGTGTCACTGGGAAAAACAAACAGGAAACCTGGTGGGGAAGATTTTGGGAATGGCCGTGCTTCAGCGTCTTAGAACTTTTTATATCTTAAGGGCCTTTACACTTCACTATGATTCCACCTTAATTTATCATAGCTGCATCCTATGGAATCTTGGAATTTGTACCTGGAAGAATTAGGCTAAGCTCCCCAGTGGTGCAATGGGTTAAACCACTGAGTTGCTGAGCTTGTTGACCGAAAGGTCGCAGGTTCAAATTCGGGGAGCAGCATGAGCTTTCACTGTCAGCCCCAGCTTCTGCCAACCTAGCAGTTCGAAAACATGCAAATGTGAGTAGATCAATAGGTACCGCTCCGGCAGGAAGGTAACGGCGTTCCATGCTGTCATGCCAGCCACATGACCTTGGAGATGTCTACGGACAATGCCAGCTCTTTGGCTTAGAAATGGAGATGAGCACCACATTTCAGAGTTGGACACAACTGGACTTCATGTCGGGGGAAAACCTTTACCTTTACCTAAACCTTGCCTTTTGCCACTATACTCAGGGAAGGGATGGTTCCCTTTTTAAGGAGTTAAGGGTACAGTATTTTCATTGACCCCTGGATAATTTTTTTTGTCATGTCAGGAGTAACTTGAGAAACTGCAAGTCGCAAGAGAATTGGCCGCCTGCAAGGACGTTGCCCAGGGGACGCCCGGATAATTTTGATGTTTTTATCATCCTTGTGGGAGGCTTCTCTCATGTCCCCACATGAGAAGCTGGAATTGATAGAGGGAGTTCATCCGCCTCTCCCCGGATTTGAACCTGCGACCTGTCAGTCTTCAGTCCTGCCGACACAGGGGTTTAACCCACTGCACCACTGGGGGCTCCTGCCCTCAATAAATCAATCAAGGTCTTTGGGGTTGACATTTGACTAAATTACCCTGACCTAGTATATAGTGTAATTGATCCAGCCCAGTACTATGTGATCTTACTCTCAACTGTTCTCCAGTATCTCAATTTTTTTCCCCAATCAATGGGAACCTGCATTGTAAAAATAAAAACAGGTATAGACTTTCTCATTCAATGGATTTCCAAGACTCCCCCAAAAGTGGAAAAACCATGTACAGTAGAGTCTCGCTTCTCCAACATAAACGGGTAGGCAGAATGTTGGATAAGCGAAAATATTGGATAATAAGGAGAAATTAAGGAAAAGCCTATTAAATGTCAAATTACATTATGATTTTACAAATCAAGCACCAAAACATCATGTTTTACAACAAATCGACAGAAAAAGCAGTTCAATGCCCAGTAATGTTATATAGTATTTACTGTATTTACGAATTTAGCACCAAAATTCGGATCTGATGGGAGGCAGACTGCATTGGATAATACAGAACGTTGGATGAGTGAAGGTTGGATAAGCGAGACTCTACTGTATTAAGAAATCACTCCCGCCCCCCAGAGAACACCTCTCTAGTAATCTCTAGTTCATCCAGAATGACTAATGTCATCTTCCATCTGACACTGACCATAGAACTCAACTGGAGGATCTGCAAATGCTTAGTTTTCTCTCTAGTAATCTTTAGGTCTTCTGACATGATTTCTGGTGGATGTGGACCAAACAGTTGTGCTAGAGGTGCTAGAGCAGTGGTTCTCAACCTTTGGTTTTGGACTTCAGCTCCCACAATTCTAAACAGCTGTTAAGATGGCTGGGATTTCTGGGAGTTGAAGTCTAAAATAATTGGAGGATCAAAGATAAGAACCACTGTGCTAGAGATTTCTAGAGAGAACATATTAATCAAATTCATGAATAATCAGATCCACAAAAG